CTCTCTCTCTCTCTCTCTCTCTCTCTCTCTCTCTCTCTCTCTCTCTCTCGGCTTTCACTTCCTTCCTCTTTCTTGCCATTCAGATTTATGACACCTTGTCAGTCCTTTATGGTAGATGGGGACAATCTATCTGTTCCCATCTAGGTAAGGTCACAGGTCTCCCACAGCCTGGCTGGTTGCTTTGGAGGCTGGCTCCCCCATGTTCGGCTGGTCCCCTGGAACTCCTCCCCCTCCTCCTCCATGCCTCATTCTGCTGGATCATGTGGCTGGTGATGAGGATAATCAAGTGACAGTTTGTTTTTTCATTTAAAATTCTTTATGCTAAGCTGTATGGTGAGYTTTCATGCACAATGAGCCACTGCCTATGTTTTCATGAAAGGAAGGTGGTCTGTGGTCTTTGAGTAGCATGAGTAGGTGAACATGGGAGAGGCTCTAACAGGCAACTGAAGCCCCTCAGGTTTTTATTTCATTTGGGTGCAGACCTCAGCAAAGTATAGAATAGTAGAGAAGCAAGCAGTTGCAGAGACTCTCCTGAAGCTCTTGGCCTGAGCACATAGTAATAGTCCCAGCTGAGAGTGGGCCAATGAAGATCGTCAGCCTCCCAGGAGAATCCGCCCTGAAACAGGAGCAGTTTATGTAGAAGCCTTTTTTTTTTTTTTTTACAAATTAATTAATTAATTAATTTGTTCTAATTTGTTATACATGACAGCAGTATGCATTTCAATTCATAGTACACAAATGGAGCACAGTTTTTCATTTCTCTGGTTGTACATAAAGTAGAGTCATGCCCTTCAATAAATTAATGTAGAAGCCTTGAAGAAGTGCAGGAAGGGAAAGTAATTCTTCCTTTAGACAACACTCAAATTTAACTGGAGTCTTTCTACAGCTGATTATGCTGTTTTTTTTTTTCTTCTCCCTGCTTTGACACATTCTTATCCAGTTAATTTGTAACAATCCTCTTCCCATCCCCAATAGAAGYTGAGGGCCAAATATATGACTCAGGGATTGTGCTGGACCTCAGAGCCCTTGTAAGTGCAGACTGAGGGCATCAACTACAGCATCCTAATTGCTGTCAGATGACCAATTATTCTAATGGATCAGAGCCTAGAAAAATTATATTACACCCGTGTCCTCTACTCACAGGTGTCAAACCAAGATGGAAACCATAGACTAGAAAACCCAGTACAGCCCCAGCTTTGAARGATAACTTATGAGATAAGGAAGCTTTTTTTAAAAAAAATCTATTCATTTTCCATTAGAAGTTTAAGTGCCTCTTTTTAATTGTATTGGTTTAGGATTCAGAGAGCCACTCAAAATAGAACTTTAAATGATTGTTGGTCTTTGGTAATATGTATTTTTAATTTCTCTTCAAGGGCTGCTTGACCTGGTGATAATTTCTCTCCTGGAGTTCCCCCTTTCAGGCAGTTTTAGTAGAAGTCATGAGCACAATAGTGTTTGGAGCACAGTTAGCMCACAAGAGTAAGCTGGCCTCTGCCAGATTCCTGCCAAATGTCTGATGTACCCAGCCTGAGCTYATCTCATCTTCTGGAGCCTAATGCACTGAGCCCTGACCACAGTGAGCTCACCCATATTGATCTCTTCCTCTTCTTTTTTTTCCAGCAAGGACTGAAAATAATCCACCATGCAGAGAAAACACTGTCTAGCTTCTGCAAGTGGCAGAAGAGCATCAATCCCAAGAGTGACCTCAATCCTGTCCATCATGATGTGGCTGTCCTTATTACCAGGTATGCCAGAGACTATGAGGAATGTGGGGGCAGCAAGTTGCATGGAGCTGGTAGCAGAAAGACTTGCCAATTACTCTGTTTATGAGATTCTCACTGTTCTTTGCTACTTTTGTTCATCAGTGGCCTAGGCAGCTCCTGACCCCATCACACTTGGCTAATATGACAGAGCCCTCCTTGATGATAAACTGCAGCACAATGAAGGTTTCCTCTTTAAAACTGGCTGCTTCATCCAGCTCTAAAAACAATCAAGAAGCTTGTTTCCAGAGCCTCATAAAAGACTCYTGTAACTCCCATTCATATAACCCAGCTACACCACTGCTCAGTATTTAWCCAAAATATTAAAATCAGCACATGGTAGGAATACAATGCCTACCCAGGTTTATAGCAGTACAATTCACAATAGCCAAGCTTCGGAACCAGCCTAGGTGTCCGTCAACAAACAAATGGATAAATAGAGTGTGGTATAAATATTCAGTGGAGTTTTATTCAGCTACAAAGAAGAATGAAATTATATCAATTTCAAGAAAATGGTTTGAACTAAAGATCATCATGTTAAGTGAAATAAACCAAACTCAGAAAGTCAAGGGTTGTATGTTTTCTCTTATGTGTGGAAAGTAGAAAGAAAAAAAGAGGGAAAAGGGATCTCCTGGAAATAGAAGGGAGACCAGTAGAATTAAAGAAGAGTTTCAGGGGAAGGAAGGTGAAGGGRAAAGGGGAGGTACTGGGGAAGAAAATGATCAAATTACATTATGTGCCTATATAAATATGTCACTATTACGTATAATTGCAATGCATCAATAAGAAGTTTTAAAGACTTCTGCAACTTTAAATCACTGGGATTTCCAATTCTTTATTTTTATGTTTAAAAAATTCTCCAATTAATAAAATGCAACTTTTTCTACAGAAAYCTATTTTCTTTTTTAAAGCACAAAGCAAACACACACTAACTGTTGTTGAGAATATAAGGAATAGGTGCTCCATTGAGTTGGCAGAGTGGTTTGGTTATACCTTTCTCCCTTTTATCCCCATAACAATAGGGTTCTGTTCTGATCACACATAGACCCTGTGGTACTAATAAAAACCATCAAGCCTTCCAGGACTCATAATTGTGAAAAGACAGAGAATTTTCCTGGTCAGCCCAGGTCCTTTGAAGTCTGTTTTCTTATTTATGCCTAAACCATTTATTGAGCTAATAAATGAGCTAATAAATGTATTGAACTCACCCACCCCTACTCTGGAAGAACCATATTCCTACAATTTTTTATTACTTTCTTCCCCCATCCACCCCCCACTTTAAAGCTAGACACTTAGTAGGCTCTCCATAAACAAGTACTTAGTGGACACGACCTCTTGCCATATCAACCTGAGAAGGTCAGTGGATTAGCAGTACTGTGTGCCAGGCACTATARAAGAGTTTACATTCTGAAAGGGATAAATTAGTTTTCTGGGCACCCTGTGCAGATTCAGAGGCATTCATAAATCAAAAATATACAGTAGAAAAAGCCTCTGGGCCCTGCCCTTCAGCCACAGAGAACCAGAGCCCCTGTGCTACATTCCACATCCACACCAACCTATTTTCCGGGAGAACTACTGATCAACCCAAGGTGTCACAGAACCCAATGAACCTACTATTATAGGTTTGTGCTAAAGATTTCCCTGGGAACATATTTGCATTTAACCAGGTTTTCATAATTTCACTTGAAAAAGTGATTCTGATGGTTGGAGTTTCTGATCAGAGTAAGGCAGGTGTTTGGAGAGTATGGGGACTGATTTTCATCTCCTGTAGACATTCTTTGTACTGCATGATGACAGAGCCAAGGTATTCGAAAGAAGCCTGACCTTCACAGGACAACCCATTCCCAGGGCCTTCTTAGAAGTGGAAAAACTTTCAAGTTCTAAAATAAAACTCAGTAATATTGGCATTTGGGGCTGGATAATTCTGTTTTGTGGGTTGTTATCTTCTATGTTGTGGTATATTTAGCAGCATCTTTGACCTCTGCTCATGAGATGCCTATAGCATCCTCATACAAGTTGTGACAACCCAAACTGTCTCCAGATGTTGACAAACATCCTTTTGGAAGGTATGAAAAGCAAAATCACCTCCCTGCCCCACCCAAACCATTTTGAAAACCATTGGCCTGAAAAAAATTAGTGGTATCAGGGAGAAAATGAGATACGAGACTGAGTTTTGCCAGTACAGACTAGTCTGAGATCCACATTAACAGAGTTATCTAAAGAGCTGTATTCAAGAGAAGGTGGATTTGGCTAGGAACATAGTCCATGTGTTTGCACTGGCAGCTAGTGGTGGTATTCCAAGGCATATTTTCTCTTATATACTGTCCCTGGTGCACAGTGGAAGTTGAGCTAATCTCCTCGTAGAGGCTGAAGCCCCTTACCTAAAAGAACCATATTCCCACAATGTTTTAGTACCTTCTCTCCCCACCCTTTAAAGCTAAACACTTAGTAGGCTCTCCATAAACAATTACCTAGTGGACACGACCTCTTGCCATATCAACCTGAGAAGGTCAGTGGAGTAGAACTGAGTGCCATGCATCTTCCCTAGAAACTCCCTGAAGACCTGCACTTTTTGAATAAAATAGTAACAAGTGCATCCTGCAGAAGAGATAGGAGCATGTTCAATTGTTTCTCCTATAGAAATATTTAAATTATTGGGTTGTATGACATAGCTCAATGAGCCACCCAGAAGCTGCTGCCATTGAGGGCAGGACTTAACCTTAATTATATAAAGCTCAGGACTTCATTGGATTCATGCTAGTCAAGAAGTATTGGCCAAGARTTCTTCTTATACTGAAGAAACTCAAATGCCCAATGAATTACTCTTCCAAAACTCTTGTCAGTGATTGAAATAATCCGTGATAGAATGAGAGCACATTTTTTATATTTAAAAGTTGTAACTATTTTTTATGAGGTCCTAGGAACCTTCCTCTCTTTTTCCAGGGTCAGTAAATAGTGAATTACTGGTTACAAGAAGCAGCAAGATTCGAGAGAGTTTGTGTGTGTGGTGAGGGGTAGAGGGCGTGCACTCCCTCTTGTGCGAAGTATTGAGAGTATGCAGGGGCTAGACAATTGATTTAATCTTTGTATGATAGAAACAATCAACTTTTTCATAAATAAAAGAAATTCTTCAATGAGGTCTTTTAAACTGTTTCCATTAGTGTCTCATAGGTACTCCTAACAGTGGGGTCCATTCCAACATATCATCCATGCATGGAATGAAATTCGGTCCACCTCAGTCCCCAGGACTCCCTCCCTCTCCCTGCACTTTACTTCACTGTCCTGCCTTCATCCATCCGCTCCACTGTTATCTCTAAGTTGATGCTTTACAGGTGTACACAAAGGTGGAGTTCACTGTGGCAGATTTATAAATGGACGTAACATAATCTGGTCAATTTGGTTTCAGTTCCTTTCTTTTCCTAYCTCTCCTCATTCCCCCTTAATCCCCTTCCTCTACTCCATTGATCTACCCTCTAATTTCATGGAGTCTCCCCATTTTCCCCTTATTTTGCTCTAGTCTCTGCATATGAGAGAATATTCAACCCTTAACTTYCTGAGTCTGGCTTATTTCATGTAGCACGATGTTCTCCAGTTCTGTTCTTAGACTGTCAGATGCCATGATTGTGTTTGCTGCTTGGCTATTGTGACTTGTGCGGCTATAAACATTGATGTGGCTGTGTCCCTAGAGTATGCTGATTTTAGTTCTTTTGGATAAATATTAAGGAGTCACATAGCTGGGTTAGTGGTGATTTCATTCTTAGTCTTTGAGGACTTTCCATAACTGCTTTCCAAAGTGGTTATACTMATTTGCAGTCCCACCAACAATGTGAGTCTACCTTTTCCCCCACATCCTCASCAGCATTTGTTATTTATTGTTTGTATTCTTGATAATTGCCATTCTGACTAGAGTGAGATGAAATCTCAATGTTGTTTTGATTTCCAATTTCCCTGATGAGTTTTGAGCAGAGAACTCAGGAAGACTAAAAAGAAGTTCCATTATTGGGAAAACCCCAGTCACTTCTGATGATCCCTTCCAGAGTTAAAAGTTCAAATTAACTTTAATTTTCAATAAAATCTTCTCTTGTTGGTCAAATCATTTAATTTGGCCTCCTGATATCAAGAGCAAAATGAACTCAAAATAAATATTTAACACATCCCCCCCCACAGTTTTTAAGTGTTAGGGAAGTACTATAATTAAGAGGTAAAATCAGAATAAAGTGAATTCAAAATTATCCCCTTCATTCACACGGGCTTTCACAATTTCAAGCATGTTCTACAGACTATATTGATGTAAATTGACACCTAGAYGAGTTTCCAGGAAGCAAGTTTCTTCTAGATATTTCTTTGGATCCCTAAAACATCTCTGTYATCTGCTTTCAGAAAAGACATCTGTGCTGGTGTCAATCGCCCCTGTGAGACCCTGGGTCTGTCCCACTTGTCAGGAATGTGTCAGCCTCACCGCAGTTGTAACATCAATGAAGACTCTGGACTCCCTCTGGCCTTCACCATTGCTCATGAGCTTGGACACAGGTAAAGGGCCGAGCAAGTTGACACAGGCTTGCCATGTTCRTGCATCAGTATCAGCAGAGGGAATGAAAATTACCTTACACTGTTGGGAGGTGTGAACTGTTCTGTGGCTTGAGGCTCATCCTCCTAGACCTCCACTTCTCCATCTGTGAAGGGCCAAAAGAGCACAGTTCACAACCTCCAGTGCCTTCTCTGCCCTGACCACTTCTGCCCACATACATCAACAAGATCACCACAGTTCTCTGACTTAGAATGGGGTGAGCAGAGGCAAGGAKACCAGTTACTCCTGAATTAACTCAGTTGTTTAATTCAGGAATAAATTCTGATTAGTTCTTAGGACATGGTAATATTAATAACACTAAAAAGTCATAAGCCTAACGTTTTTTGTGTCCTTCCTGCATGCCATTGTGCTTGTCATTGTGTCATTGAATCTTCCCAACCAACTAATGAMATAGATTCTATTGTTACTATTGTTAGCGTCATTTGACTTACGTGTATTAAAAAGGAGAACACTGAATAAATAAGACATTGAAACAATTTGAAAAGAACGGTAAGTGAACTCCAGTTAACAGGATACCAAAGTTGTTGCAAAATATAAATGTGTGAATTTGATTTTATGAATCTCTTGAAGGCAGGTTTCCAAATGTTTGATTGAAGGCATAATGAGGATTCTGGATAGGCCAAGTATCAAAGGTTTCCGTGGGGGAAGATCTTAGCTTATTTATAACTTTGTTTTCAACTTTTAGAYAGTAACTGTTCTACTTCAGCCAAACAGCATAAGAAAAAGAAAACAGAACAAAACCAAAACAGCTCTGTAGGCTCATGCCTCTGCATGCTAGCAAAGTCTGAGTGTGGAGCTGAGACTTCCATCCATGCCAGTCTGTAASGAATCACCCAGCACTGCCACTTGGGCATTTAAAAAGTTACATAAGGCACAAGGACTTTCATCTTTGCAGGGCAGTTATGAGCACTCCAACCTTTTGTGCCAGTGCAGACAATGTGAGAAGTCAGAAATGCACTCACTCCAACCGGTAGCACAAGTCAGCTGTGACACCCCTAACAAGGCAGTTATCAAGAGGTTTTGTTGGTAAACCTGAACTTGTAATTCCAATGTAAAAGATATAAAGAAGAATCAAATGGAATTTGTGGAACTGAAAAAAAAACATGAAAATAAAAATAAAAATCTCAGTGAATGTTCTCAAAAAGCAGAATGGAGGGCACAAAGAAAAGAATCAGTGAACTGGAAAACAAAGAAATAAAAATTATGTGATTAGAACAAAGAGAAAAAAAGACTGCCAGAAATTAAAAGTCAAAGCAGAATTTTAGAAACACATGAGATTATAACAAAATGTCTTACATTTGGGTCATCAGAAGGAAAGGAGCAAGAATGGGATCGAAAAAGTACTTAAAATGCAAATGGCTAAAAACTCCCCAGATTTAATGAGGCATCCTAGGAAGYCCATAGGTACCTACAGATTTATAAAGCTGGGAGAAGCCCCAAAGGGGTTAAAGCTAAAGAAAATTCATGCCGAGATCAGTCATAATTAAACTTTGAAGTCTGAAGACAGGAAATCTTAAAAGCAGTGGGAATTATCTCTTTGCATCTGTAGGAGGAACACACCTTGAATAAAGATAGATTCCCCACCAGAGACCATGGAGGCCTGGAGGAGGTGGCACAATATCTTTCAAATGCTAAAAGAAAAGACCTGTCATCAACTAAGGATCATAAACCTAGCAAAGGAAAAGAGGAAGGAACAATTTTTAATTCATTTTATGAAACTAGTATTACCCTGATACCAATATCAGACAAAAACACAGTACTGAGGAAACAACTAAAAAATAATATCCTGCATGAGTATTAATGCAAAAAATTTTAAAATATTAGCAAATAGAATTCCGCAATGTACATTAAAAAAAGATACAGACACAATGACCAAGTGAGATTTATTTCAAGGGTACAGGCTGGTTCAGTATTTGAAAATCAATCAGCGTAATGCACCATAGTAACAGGCTAAAGAAGAAATACTCATTTCTCAATAATGCAATTCAAAGAGTTTAGAGTTCGTTTTTGTGTTCAATGGCCAGCACTTTCTTTGTTTTCAGGTTTTCTAAGCCAAGGAGATCCCTCCTCCTTCCTTCTGATTTTGTGATTTCAGTTCTGAACCCTTATCTTAATGATGTTATTTTTTAATGGTCTTTGTTTTTACATTAAACCATTCCAATGACTTTTAAACATATAGGCAGAGTATTAAAAAAAATGACATGATCACATCAATTGATGTAGAAAAAGCATTTGACAAAACTCAGCATCCATTCGTTATTATTTTAAAAACTCTCAGAAATAAAAAGAAACTTTCTTAATTTGATAAGGAATATTTCCAAAAGATTGACAGCTAACTTGATACTTGATAGTGAGAGACTGAATATATTCCCTGGATCAGAAACAAGGCAAGTATACCATTCTCATCACTTCTTATTCAAAGTAGTACTAAAAGTGTCAGCCAGTGCAATTAGACAAGAAAATGAAACAAGAGGCATACATATCAGAAAGGAAGTAATAAAAGTATCCCTATTTGAAGAGAGCATTATCTTATGTGTGGAAAACTCTAGCGAAAACATACACACACACACACAAAAAAAAAAAAAAAAAACAGAAGAAGAAGAATGAGTTCACCAAGCTCACAGGACGCAATATAAACACATAAAATCATTTGTATTTCTGTATTCTAGCAATGAATAGATGGACACTGAAATGGGACTGAATTAGAACAAATTATATTTCATGCTTTTATAATTATGTCAAAATAAATAYTATTGTTATGTGTAACTAAAAAGAGCCAATAAAGGCCCCCCCAAATTTTTTTAAAATCCAATACTTTTTACAATCACTCAAAATTTGATTTTGGACTTTGTAAGCTTGTAGAGCTATAGAATGAAATCCTGTTATTTTAAGCCATCAAGTTTATGGTAATTTTTATGGTAACCTTAGGAAAATAATATATCATACATTTAATGAATAACTAGTATCTATATGAAAAACTTTCAAAACTCAACTGTAAAAAAAACAAATAATTAGAAAATGTGCAAAAGACATGAATAAGTATCTCTCCAAAAGAATGTACAAATATATTTAGTACATGAAACAATGTTTAAAATCAGTAGCTATCAGGGAAATACAAATTAAAACCACTAATGATATAGCACTACACACCTACAAGAATGACTAAAATAATGAGGTATAACAAATCCCACTGTTAAGTATAATTATAATGTTATCAGTACTAAAAAGAGAAAAAATGACTGAAATAAAAATCAGTTATGACACCAAATGCTATCAAGGATGCAAATAAACTGAATCATACCTCCATTGCTGGAGAGAATATAGAATGGTACAAGCACCATGGAAAACAATTCAGTAGCTTTTCTAAAACTAAACCCACAATTACAACATGACCCAGCAATTACACTCCTGTGTTTCATCTCAGAGAAATGAAGATATATTTTCATATCATAATGTTTACATGAATGTTTATGGAAGCTTGATCATAATAGCCCAACCCAGGAAACAACCCAGGATGTTTCAACCCATCAGGGTAAATGGCTGAGGAAACCAGGATGGATACACATCATGAGACACCAGTCATCGAGAGAAAGGAAGGAACTACTAATACATGCCACAGCCTTGACACCCTTCCAAAGAATGATGCTTAGTGAAAAAAGACCATCTCCAAAGTTGATCTACTGTATGATTCCATTTACATAGCATTATAGAAACAAGAAAATTATAGAAATAGAAAACACTGGGGCCAGGTGCCGTGGCGCATGCCTGTCATCCCAGCGGCTGGGAAGGCTGAGGCAGGAGGATCATGAGTTCAAAGCCAGCCTCAGCAAAAGGAGAGGTACTAAGCAACTCAGTGAGACCCTGCCTCTAATAAAATACAAAATAGGGCTGGGGATGTGGCTCAATGGTTGAGTGCCCCAGAGTTCAATCTTCAGTACCCCTCCCAAAAAGAAAATAAAACAGTGGGATTTGAGGGAGGGGAGGGAGTACGTACAGCTATGAAGTGCAGCATGAGAAATCATGTGGTGAGGAAAATGTTTGGTTTCTTTTCTGTACCAAGATCAATATCATAATTGTGTTATTGTACTACAGATTTGCAAACTGTTACTTAGTGGGGAGGTAGGGAAAACATATATGATTATTTCTGTATTATTTCTCACAATTTCATCTGAGCTTGCAGTTATTCTAAAATTTTTTAAAAGTAATTTTTTCTATATTTATCTTATTAATTTAAGGAGCATAACTTTTTATTTCTCTGGTTGTACATGATATAGAGTCACACCATTTGTGCAATCATACCCATACATAGGGTAATAATGTATATCTCATTCCACCATCCACCCCCACTCCCTGGCACACACACCCCTCACCCTTCTGTTCAATCCAAACTTTCTCCATCCCCACCCCCATTATGGATCAACATCCACTTATCAGAGAAAACATTTGGCCTTTTTTTTGGGGGGGGGTTGTTTACTTCGCTTGGCATGATTTTCTCCAACTCTGTCCATTCACCTGTAAATACCATAATTTCATTCTTCTTTAAGGCTGAGTGATATTCCATTATGTATATATGCCATAGTTCCTTTATACATTCATCTATTGAAAAGACATCTAGGTTATTTCCACAGTTTATTAATAATGTGAAGAGAGAGCCAACAGAATGGGAGAAAATCTTTACCACATGCACATCAGATAGAGCACTAATCTCCAGGATATATAAAGAACTCAAAAACCTTTACACTAAAAAAAAAAATCAATAAATAGGCTAAGGAAATAAGCAGATACTTCACAGAAGAAGATACACAATTGATCAACAAATATATGAGAAAATGTTCAACATCTCCAACAATTAAAGAAATGCAAATCAAAACTACTCAAAGATTTMATCTTACTCTAGTCAGAATGTCAGTTATCAAGAATTTAAGCAACCATAAGTGTTACTGAGGATGTAGGGGGAAAAGGTGCACTGATTCAATGCTGATGGGACTGAAAGTTGGTGCAACCACTTTGGAAAGTAGTATCGAGATTCCTTAGAAAATGTGGAATGGAACCACCATTTGACCCAGCTATCCCACTCCTCAGTCTATACCCAAAGGACTTAAAATTAGCATACTACAGGGACACAGCCACATTAATGTTTATAGCAGCTCAATTTAAAAAGTTAATTTTAAAAAATGGTATTGGGCCATGTGCAGATGACCTAAAATATTTTTTTTAATGGCAAAAACAGACAATGGGAAGGGAAAGGAAAGTAGGAAAACAGAAATGTTTAGAGTTTTGACTAAGTAAGAAAAAGTTGAAAGAAGATTCATGAGCTTGATTTTGAACAATAGAAAAAATGCTTTAGTAAGACCCCCCCAAATGGACTAAAGACTTTAGGAGCTTTCTGAGAAGATTTTGCATGTAGCAAAAGATGCTTCTGTGTAGTTAGCTCTTTTTGGGGGTTGGGGGGCTATATACTTCTAATTAGCTCTGGACCAAACTGAGAAATAAAATACTGTAAAAATCAATGAAATGGTCTAGAACAACCCAGAGAAGGAAAATGCAATGAACTGATATCCTAAGAAGATACTCATTATGATTTACTAACAAAGATACCTCACTGTTTCTTGGAAACTTGTTTGTTTCATCATTGATTATATATAACGCTAAAGAGAAGGCAAACTAACTCACCTCACTATGCGTAGGTGAATGCTTTCRCTTATTTTGAGAGGGAATTTAAAAATGGACATTTGTGACGGCCCTAGATGATATTAGCCATCCGGCTCTGAAACGTCATGCCACCTTTGTTGGTCCCTAAAATTACAAAACTGAAAATAGAATTCCAGAAGGAAATTAAAAAACTTGACACATTGAAAAACAAACTGCTTCCACTGAAGAACAGTTTTTGAACTAGCCACATGGCTCTCACAACTGTATATTTGAGGTAAAGCCATTCATACAACATTTCCTGCTCTTGTGAATTCAAAATTGGCTATGCCTCTCCAACTTCAAAGTCTGACTTTTCAACAGCTCCTCCTATACAAAAGTGTCTCTCTGGGTTATTATCACCTTGGAGAAACTATGATTTTTCTCCCTGTTTAATTCCTGCTCTCTTGATATTCTTGTGCTTTGTGCCAGCTTTGGCATCCAGCATGATGGGAAAGAAAATGACTGTGAGCCCGTGGGCAGGCACCCGTACATCATGTCCCATCAGCTCCAGTACGATCCCACTCCACTGACGTGGTCCAAGTGCAGCAAGGAGTATATCACCCGCTTCTTGGAGTAAGTGGCAGTACATCTTACGTCAGCCTCACTTGGGTTTCTTTAAGGTGGGGGATGCATTGAATTTTCCACAGCGGAGATGCTTCCCGAGAAACACTTGTTTCCATCCCCAGACCACAGTGTCAGGGCAGCACCACAGGGATGGAGTCYACTTCTGCTTTCTGACCCTGAGATTTAGAGCTCTGCCCTGCATCCTGCCCTCCCTGGCTGCTCCTGCCCCAAGTTGGCTTTTTATGATAGGACTGAGAATTAAGTTTGGGGAACCGGCAGGAACAATCAGGACCAGGAGTGTTTAGCCAAACCCTCTTGGGGGTAAGATGATGGTTTTCCAATTTTCCCACTTCTTTTATTTCCTAAACGTGGTATGGGTATAATTTGCATTTCCTTTTACTAAGTCCCTTCTTAGGTCCAGAGGGTTCTCTGGCATGTAAAAATAAAGTTGTCTTGAAGGACAAAGAGTGAACTAGAAGAATGGAAGTTTTTATTGAATGAAACACTGAAGGGAATACATGAACCATTTGCTCTCATTTCTGTTAACTTGTTTGCAGCCGAGGCTGGGGGTTCTGTCTTGATGACATTCCCAAAAAGAAAGGCTTGAAGTCCAAGGTCATTGCCCCTGGCGTGATCTATGATGTCCATCACCAATGCCAGCTCCAGTATGGTCCCAATGCTACCTTYTGCCAGGAAGTTGAAGTAAGTATTGGGTATCTTGGTGCACCTCATGGGTATGTGTAGAGCTTGAAATCTCCAGCATGCTGAAGAAAGGGCCAGGRAAATATTTGGAAATTGGAAGATCCAGAAAGAGAAGCTTTATATTTATGGCAAGGTATAAATATACCTATGTTCATAAAAGGCAGAAGAATTAAATCTGTGGTCATTTATATTCCTTGACCCTGCCTCTTTGGAATTCTGGAATCTACAATTTTTGCAACCAGATGGTGGTTGAGACAGTTTCATGGTGATTTTCAGGATTCACAGTGATTCATGCCTACAGACTTCATAGCAACCAACATAATACCTAAAGTTGTCCAAGGTAGGAGTATGATTCATCCCCAATTCATCCCCAATACATTCTTCTCCTTTGTTTTCAATATTAAGTCAAGCCTTGATATCTCACCTTCTAAATAGTTCTTGATTACCCCAGCTACTGATTCAATCTTTCATTATCTTTCCTCACTATTATAACTCCTACCTAGTCTCTCTCCCATTCAAATTGTTCCTCTRGGTGCTTTAAAAATACACAAATCTAGCCAGGCATGGTGTTACATGCTTATAATCCCAGCCATCTGGGAGACTGGGGCAAGAGGATTGAAAGTTGGAGGCCATCCTGGGCACCTTAGCAAGACCCTGTCTCAGAATAAGAAACAAAAAGGGTTGATTATGGTAGAATACACCTGGTTTCAATTCCCAGTACCATAAAATAATTATAATAATTAATAATTATTAATAAATWATTAATAATTTTTAATAATTAATAATGGTGATAATAATAATTAATAATATATAGAACCATGGCCGACTTGGTTCTGAGGCTCCTGTGGGCCCCAGGATGAAATCCTACCTCCATGTGTGGCACTCTACTATCATTTGGACCCTGCCTGGTCTGTGAACTCACCCTTCTCTTGCAAAAGTACAGATACTGAGACAGATGAGAAGACAGATMTCGCTGAATCCTTGCCAGATTCTGTGCTATGTTTTGAATAAGATGAAAAAGATAAACCTTCAAAAATTAATAAGACAAAGTCTCTGTCTTCAAGGAGCTCATGGTGGCAAAGGAAATAACAATAACTTCAACATAGCAAGATAAATACAAAAAGAGACATTGAAAGAACTTAGAGAYGGAAGTAAGAAACTGCTTAAAACACGCAAAACTTAACAGAGAAGGTAAAGTCGGTRCACCCTTTCATCTGACTAGTTACCAAGTGACTCCAATTGTAAATATCTCTAAAATCCATCCAATCCTATATCTATAGTGGTTAATCTATTGGTCTCCTCCCTAAAACCAATTACCTCCCCTCTGCTTTCCTCCACCCACCCAAATATAGCTAAACCAACTTTATAAATGGAAATCTGCGTGTTTTCCCTTCTGATTAAAATACTTGACAGCTTTCCCATTCTCTTAAAGTTCAAATTCCTTAAATTGGCTTTAAAATATGCTCAGGATTTTGTTCTCTTAATATCTGGACTTACTCTTAAAATATTGTTTTAATCTTATGTTCTTTAAACCAATAAATACTCTGATTGTGTGTACATTAGACTTCTTCACTGACCTTTCATATTTTAGAAACTATCCTTATTTGCCATCTTTTTTTTTTGGAGGGGGGCTAGGGGGTACCAGGTATTGAACTCAGGGGCACTCAACCACTGAGCCACATCCCCAGCCCTATTTTGTATTTTATTAGAGATGGGGTCTCACTGAGTTGCTTAGTGGCTCATCATTGCTGARGCTGGCTTTGAACTGATGATCCTCCTTCCTCAGCCACCCAAGCTGCTGGGATTACAGGATGTGCACCCCCACGCCTGGCTATTTGGCATTTTTTATACGTCTGTCTTTATTTTTGTCTTCTAAATTACCAGTTCTCTCTTCAGATATGTCTTCTATTAAACCTGTGCATTTGTATTTTAATCTCATTTATTATATTTTTTACTTCTAACAATCTATTTTCTAAATTTTCTGTCATTTTATGATCTCTTAATCCTGATTCAAATTTTTAATGTGATCTTTTATTGCTTTAAGCATATATCACTCACTTATTTCATAATTTATGCTGGATAATTCTAGTAGTCTGGGTCTTATGTGAATCTGTATTGGTAGGGTTYCTTCCAGCTCTTAGTTACATATTATTTCCTTGTGTGATTTTTACTTTTATGATAAGATATTGGTTATGAAATTTCACATTGGAGTTTTCTTCAGGCCTTAGAAGGTTGGCACATTCTAAGAGAATTGACCATTGCTGGGTCAGTTTATAATAAATTATTGGTTTGGTTTTTGTTTTGTTTTGACTATGTGGGCAGCATGAGGACTAGTATGGACATAAACTCTCAGGAGTAATAATTTACCATGMCTGAAGTTGAAAGTCAAAGCAGGCAAGTTTTCTGACCTTGTACCCAAATATATTTAGTTCACCCTTTCACTTAAGAGCCAATCTTTTAGGGTTCTGGCCTTATATGGAGGTCTCGAGTAATAAATATCTCCAACTGCCAACCCTAAGCATTGCCTCCAGTATTCAAGTGCCCTGTAAACCTAAAATCTAGATGACTTAATTTCCATATCTAGATTGATATTTTTGGTAATTTTTAGCCTTACCTTCTTGCCAACTTAAGGATAAACTTAAAACTTTTTTAAATAGTTTATCCATGGTTTTAKAAGTTTTATAGAGGTAAGGGATTTTCAGCTGTTAGGCATTGAGAAAACACCATTCCAGCTCTTTCTGGTCAAGTCCTCCTTAAACTGTATGTCTACAGAACTACCTTCATTCCTTGAGAGCCCTGGGGTCTCCTTAACTACCTGAATTTTTCACATGGTGATTCCYCTGCTTTATCATTCCTACTTGTCATTCAGGTTTCATTTTAAATATCACTTCATATCCTCTTCTGTGACAAAGTCCTTTTTAAAATTATATGGTTAGTTTCTTGTTTACTTATCTCTACCCTCCTCCATTATAAGCTTTCTGAGGAAATTTTTATTTACTCAGCAGTACACATAGTAGCCACTCAATAGGTAAATGAATAAAGACTTCATATCCCTGTATGTTACAGCCAATAAATCATTTCCTTTATTAAAAGGCCTGAAATACAAAATGTAGCAGCATCCTTCTTTATTATAATTTTTCATTTTGAAACAATTTAAACTCCAAAAATATTTCAAAACTGTACAGAGTTTCTGTGTACCTTTCACGCAACACATCATATTTTATAAATGCAAAATAAAGTTACAAGTAAGAACAGAAATCCTCAGAGAGGGAAAAAAAAACTAGAAGTGAAGTAAAGCAATAAACTTACAATAACTTTCCAGATTTTAATTGAAAGTAAGAATGATAAAATAAATATATAAAAGAACAATTAATTGTGTTTGAAAGATATATTTAAGGCAGAAATGAAGAAAAAAATATAACYTTTGGAAGTGAAAAATACAGTCATTATTTTTAAAATTCAATAATAGGATTAAACAGCAGGCTTGAGGCAGCTGAAGAGAAAATCGGCTATCTGAAATYCAAAGCTGTGAAAATTACTTCCCATCCTGCTTGAGTGTTTCTCAGAGGSAAGTGATGGGAGAGAAAAGTTCTTCAAATTTTGAATACAATAAAATCAAGAGATAGAAAATAGGAAGATCAAGTTGAAACAAGAAGGTCAGAATAGGAAACTTTATTAACAACAACTATGGATTCCAGGAAGAGAGGCAAAATTGGGGCAGATGAACATTGAGAATTTTCTGAAATTGTTTAAAATCTAAAATCTTATGTTGAAGAAGAACAATTCAATGTAGATTACAAAAGTGGATCGAATGATGGGAGATGGGAAGTAGCTGAACCATTTTCGATAACATTTAAGCCACCTGTCAATCTTCTGTCATTCTCACAAGAGTAGAAATGACAGAGAACATGTAGTTCCCTCCCTAGAAGCTAAAACAGGCTGATCCTTTTGGGTAATAAGTAATAAGCTGAAGTGTTCTGAGTGGAATAGTTTTCATTGCTTTCCTTGAGCGGCTCAAATTATAACCACTCCGGCTGCCAAAACTTGGATTTGCCTGTAATAAATGAGATCATCAGTTACCCTGCCCAAGGTCACGAGTACTAGATATTGTCCCACACATAGAGAATAGTCGTCTCAACTCTGAAGAAATGGGCTCTACCTCTCATTTCGATATTGCCTAGTGCGGTCTGCAGACCATGGCAAAACTAAGTACAGTTTGAACGGAGACTCTAATGATTGCTTTATTGATTCGTATCCACTATCCACAGTGGCATTTATTGTGAGTGCGTGTATTTTGCCACMAATGTAGAAATGCTGTTGTGTAGATTTTGACTATACCAAAAAAGCTCAGTCTCACATTTGTTTTCCAGAACGTTTGTCAGACGCTGTGGTGCTCAGTAAAAGGCTTTTGTCGCTCTAAACTGGATGCTGCTGCMGATGGGACAAGATGTGGTGAGAAGAAGGTGATGTGTGAGGCTGAGGAAGGAAAGTGGGAGGGCAGTGGGCCCTGAGTTCTTGCAGAAAGCTGGGGAGAAGGCCCTGGAGAGGGTGAGGCTCTCTCTGGGTGAAGGACAGTGAATGAAGGTCACATAGACCAGCCAGAGGAAAGGGTTCTGTCCCTTCTTTCCCTGATAAACCTCTGGATTTGGACAACAGCATCTGCTGAACCTATTATCAACCATTCATTTGTTTTGACATTTCCCCCCTCCATATGGAAGATGGGAAAGGACAGCCCAGTGGATTTTTCTTTCCAAAAAAAAAAAATGTCAGATTTTGTCCACTTATAATCTTCTTTCACATTATCTGACATGACTATTTTTTCCTGAAGTTCTGCCCACCTTGCTAGGCAGGAAGGTCATATATCCAGGAACTCAGAAATCATTAGCTATTCTCCAGGCTGCCTGAGAACAGGATAATTCCTGCTGCACAAGTTAACCACTTGGATCTGATGTGGGTTTAGGGCTTAGGAGTTTAGCTTTCATGCAGCCTGAGTGTGGCACGACCGATCACTGAGATAAATAGAACCTGGTTGAAATACACAGTGATCAGAAAGAATGAGGGAAAAAGAGCCCAGCATATAGAACATGCCTTCATCCTTCAAAAATATGACCATTTCTAACAACCAAGCTGCACTTCCTTTTGTTTTAATTTGTACGTGTTCATTCTCCTAAACTGAGAGTTATGGAAAGATTGTGTTGACGAGGGAGAGAGTAGATATTTTCTAAGTCACTTGAAAGGTTAGAATTGCAACAATGGCTAGGAAAAAAAAAAAAACAGCTATTTTCCCGCTTGATCTAAGAAATTACTTCCTACAACTTGTGTTTTGGGAAATGAAGTGAACTTTTATGCTGGGGAGTGTTCTGCTGCAGGCATAAATACCCACAGAATCTGTAACAAAGTGCTACTCTAATGCCAGACATGAACTGTTAGGACCTGCACCAGAAAGTAAATCAACAGCTATGTCATTAGCATACTAATTGACATGATGCATAGAGGAAGTGGTATGTTGGTTTATATTCTAGCATGCAATCGGCCAACCAGGCTTTGAGTAGCACCGCTGCAGTGACTCTGAAAGGCACCATACAGTTCCCTTCCATTCCTGAAACTGGTTTTGAAAACCAAGACTCTGGGAAAGCTCTTTTATAAGCCCTTCTTTGTTTGCTATCTTAAGTGTGACTGCAGAAAGCCTACTTGCTCTGGGAGGATTGGGTGTAGACGTGGGTGTAGACTTCTAGGGTTCTGGGCTTGGCTTGCTAAGATCCTTCCTGACATTTGCATCTCCTCTCTTCCCTTTGCAGTGGTGCATGGCGGGCAAGTGCATCACAGTGGGGAAGAAACCAGAGAGCATCCCTGGAGGCTGGGGCCGCTGGTCACCCTGGTCCCACTGTTCCAGAACCTGTGGGGCTGGAGCCCAGAGTGCAGAAAGGCTCTGCAACAACCCTGAGTAAGCCTGGCCAGATCCACCTCCTTCCCTGCCTTCCACAAGCACTGAGAGGCCAGTGTCGAATGGCAGGACTTCAGTGACCCCAAGCCTCCTTGGGAAATTAAATGGGTTCCCAGAGACGAATGGAGCCTGAAGATTCACAGAGGGTGAAAAAAGAGTGATTCTGTTTTGTTTGGGCTTGGCAGTTGATTCTCAGTAACACTTAGATAAGTAAGCTAATTCCATCATTTGGAGAAATAAAGCAAATTTCTTTTCAAGGCACAACCTATGTGGCATACTCTAGGAAATTGTGCAATTAAATCCTTCCAGATAACTCCACTCTATCAGTAAGAGATCAGTTATACATAATATTCATGGTAGCATCGTAGCTACTTTCAATCATAATGAATGTACAGTTTTATGAAAATATTATTTTTCCCTTAGGTAACTAATAAAATAGGTAAACACATTGTGAATTATTTCATGAAAAGATATTATAAACTTTATAGGAGCCTGTTAAGGATTCCATAGAAATTACTTCACCAGCAGTTTTCTTTTTTTTTTTAATTGAATTGCTTGATTTCTCATGTATTTAAACTTCAAGCCTCACTCTCCTTCCTTCCTTCCTTCCTTCTGCTACAGCCTGACACCTCATTTTCTTGTCACCATGTCTTGTTCCATCTGCAGTGGGGTCCAGTTACCCTACTGGAGGGTAACACGTGATGGATAGATATTGCCCCACACATAAGGATGACAATCTCAGCATTGAGAAATGGGTGTGCCTCTCATTTCCTTATTGCCTAAAATGGCCTACAGACCATTGTTTTTGAATGAGGACAAAAACTAAGTATATGTAAGGAACAGATTAAGTCACATTAAGAAAAGTGGGGGGGCTGGGGTTGTGGCTCCGTGGTAGAACGCTCGCCTCGCACATGCAAGGCCCTGGATTCCATCCTTAGCACCACATAAATATAAATAAATAAAATAAAGTTTAAAAAAAAAGAAAAGTGGGGAGAGCAGTATAGAAAATCTCATGAACATTCAAAAGAGCCAAGTACAGCAGAGCCACATAAGAATTATAACCACAGTGAGAACTTGAGAGTCAGCCAGACCTCCGCCCCGCRGGCTGCATGGTCAACCTGAACAGGACCATGATAAGAGCATGGGCTACGGATTAAATCAAGCAAGGGTCCAAATCCTGACTCTGCCACTACACTGGACACTTGGGAAGATGTCCTGCTTTTATGTGCTTTTATCATGATGTCATCTGAACTGCCTTTGTCCTGAGAATATCTTCAGAAACACTCCTTTCATTAATACTTTCCAACCAGCCTTAACTTCCATGGCTCTCTCTCTTTCCATGGCTCTCTCTCTCTTTCCATGGCTCGCTCTCTCTTCTAAAAACCCCACCATACTCATAGTCAGGGATACATTGTTGCCACCTTAAATTATCTTACTTCTTTGGTTATTTTTTTCTTAACAAAATTATAAATTTCCAGGAACCATAGAACATGGCTTGGTCCTCTTTCCTGCCCTCTTGTCCCCAACCATGATGTTGAACACATGGTAGTATATAAATACTGATAGATTATTATTCACAATAACTGAAAAATGCTATCATTTACTGAGTTCTTACTTTGTGACCAGAGTTGCTTTATTAGAGTAACTTTATGTGTATTGTCTCATTCAGTCCTTTCAACTCATGAGATAAAATTTCATGCTCATTTCACAAATTTATAAAAAAAAAATCAGTTCAGAGATATAAAATAACTTGTTTAGGACTATCTAACTACTAAAGGTAAAGCCAGATTCCAACTCCAGGCTGTTGGCCCTATTTTGCTGCACTACAATAATAGTAACAATTCCTCATTCAGATGCTGAAACCTGGAGGCAAAAAGGTATATGAGGATCACCTTAGAGTCTTCTGGAAGGATACATGGTTCCTCCAGTTCTTTGGAAGCAATTCCATGATATTCCCCCCTTCTTCTCTTTTGAGTGATCCTGGTAGAGAGATTGTCATGCTCGAGTGTATTGAAAAGGAAATTTAAAAATTGAGAATGTATTCTAAAGTAAGAGTAATGAATTCATTTATTGAATGCTTATTAAAAACTCAACTATGCTCAAGGTACTGTTTAGATACCTTACAGTACATAGAACTTAGGTTTAGTAATTTAAAAAAATTACCTTTAGGTAAGGAAGTGCATACAGTTGGTACATGAAGTGTCACTAAAGAGAGGAGACAGAAATTCTGGTTGGAATTCAGGAAGGATTTATGATGGAGGTGACCTTTAATTTGTCCCTAAAAAATGGAAAGGATGTCGACATGGAAAGACTTAAGATAAAGGAATTCTATCCAGAGGCACAGGAAAAAAATAATAAATAAGACAGCTTGTACCATTGGAGCAGTGTAGGAAATAAAGTTGTTAAATAGAGTTGAGGCAGGTTCATAAGGGCCTGGATAATCAAGCTCAAAAGATTGTAATTGATTCTGAGGCTATAAGGTCCACTGAATGCTTTTTGAACAGGAAGCTAGGATAATTAAGGTGACCTAAAAGTGTCTTCAGATAATAGTGTGTACAGTGGATTGAATGAGGAGAAAGTGAGGAAAGGGAAGACAAATGAAGATAAGAGTCCAGCTGGTTTGGTAACTGGGATTCAGGAAGAGGTAGCAAATATAAATACAATTGATTCCCAAACAATTGATTGACTATTGTCCTAGGAAGGCAACAGTTGAACGATTCTGAATACTCTGACCACTGTTAACTTTCTAAATAGGAAATAGAGAAGGATCAGATTTTGGAAAGAAAATGATGTATCCTTTTGCAGCATATATTTTCCCTTGGGGGTATACAGTTGAAAAAGTATTGCGAAGTAGGCAACTATACACATAGCACTAAAGTGCTGTGTATATAGCATAGAATGCAACACACACAAAAACACAACTTGGAAGGGTTTTAAAAGGTGAGTTTTTAGCACACAAAAAGAAATAGTTTGGCCAAGAACAAGTATGGTCAGACGGCAGGGAATTTTTTTTTTTTAAAGGATAATATTGGCCTTTTGGGAAATTAAAAGAACAGCTGTCTGTTTCACTTGTAGACCAAAGTTTGGAGGAAAATACTGCACTGGAGAAAGAAAGCGATATCGCTTGTGCAAYGTCCACCCCTGTCGCCCAGATGCACCAACATTTCGGCAGATGCAATGCAGTGAATTTGACACCGTTCCCTACAAGAATGAATTCTACCACTGGTTTCCAGTTTTTAATTCAGGTAAGAAACTGTAACAGTATATCTCAATCAAATCTTACCRCCACATTTTTATTTCACATTTTCTCTAAGTTGAACAAAGAGATATGTACCATCAGGAGTTTTGTGTTTTGGAAGAAACACTGACCTGGTGAAATTGATCAGTAAATGTTAAAGGCTCAGTATATGTCCAATTCTGCTCTGTGGGAGATGAATAAGACATTTGTCAAACACAGTGACTCGCTTCAAAAGAGCTGAGGTGCATCGGAGCACCTACATGGGGCACATGGGCATTCAGCTACTAATTGCTTATTGACGGGCATGTGAAACTGACTGTARTTTCAGCAGAAATTCAGAACACAAGGTCATTGTGGGTTTGGAGTATTTTYAAAGAAGGCTCCCAAGGAAATAGTCGATGATTCTTAGCATGAGTAATTTTTCTACTGAAAAAATAAAAAGGGGAGGCATTCAAAATAGAGTCATTCGAAATGGGAAKAGACTAGCACAAAGAAAGGCAAGATAACAGGAATGCCTTCATTAGAAATGAGAGAGACCCAGCCTTGGGCCAGAAACCAACGCTTCATAGGCACAGAGCAGTATGAGAAGGGTCAAAAGCAAAATCAAATGTCTAAAGGATGCACATCAGGAAATGGGGAGAATCAAGTTGGAGAACACAACAGCAGCTTTGGCAAAACTTCCAGTGAGAACCATTGCCCATTCTTTCCTGAAAATGAACCAGGGTTAATGATGATTAGCTATAGATTTACATCAGAAGGCATTTTATCAGTGCTCTTTGTTGTGATTTGAGTGAGAAACAAAAAGGCTTTCTGAGGCTAAGGAGATTCCAGGCAAAGTGGTTAAAATTAACTACTTAAATTTTTCATGATTTTTAACTCCTGAAAGTCTTGTGATAAGACATAAGAAAAATCATAGATTGGAGAATAACATCTTGGCCTTTTAACACAACGATGTTGTCAGTAACTTTTGGAAGACGCTGTGGCGCTTTGACCATGATGAATCACCCAAATACCCTGATGGCTAATTGTTGTCAAGGGCAACAGCTACTCCTTATCCCTAACTGTTTAGCATCATTCATGTTCTGTGGCCGTCAGCATTTGGTTATTGGTAGAGTTGAACTTCCTTGTCCAGGCATCTGAACACAGGAAACTCATTTGTGTATTCATGTGGATTTCATGCTAATGATGAAAGGTGCATTCAGTTGGTATTATCTATGCCTGTATCTTACACATTCTCTATTTTGTTGAATCAAAGTAGAGCATTTGGATTAGTGGTTTTAGGGACCCTGAATAAGTAGCCTTCCATGACTAAAATAGATAACCTCCCCCGTGGTATAACAGGTCCATATTCTTGGTCTTTTCCTACCACAGATATAAGGTTGAACTTGTGTGAACTCAGTTAAGACTGATGGCTCAAGTATAACTGGACTTAGAATGAAAAAAATTCATTCAGCTTTGCTTTTCATTTATTTACAAGTTTTGTTATGTGCCTACCTTTCTGTCTAGTATAGCTGTCAGTACTAAGCAATGATAGGCATAAGGGTAAACATCTGCTTCATTCATTTTGGAATGATTGATTGATTGGTTGGTTTAATTTGCTCCCTACTGAGTTCACTGTCTCTCTAGGGTATAAACAGCCATCCTCTGTCCTGGTGATTTCCATACAGCTCCTGTGCTATTGTCAGGTGCGGTGACTTACCTAGGTGACTTACCTACTAACAAAGAGTACCTAACACCTTGACCAACACACATGAAATGCATCAAAACTCTTCCTTAACTAAACAAATATTTTTATATACTTTAGTAAGTTTGATTTTTTTGCTTCTAATGACCATTTCTTAATTTTAAAATATTGAACTATCTTGTTTCCGCAGAATTGAAAATGAAACCTTTGATTAAGTTCATGCAGTTACCTGAGCTTCCTTTGAAAGGATTAATTACAGGATGAGGGTGAGAGTTTACCAGTAAATTGATTTTAGTGCTTTCACTTTACCTAATTATACATGGAGGTGAAAGCTCTTGAAAACCAGAGGGACAAAAAAACCTCATGGCTCAGACAAAAGGATGTCAGGTAAACAATGTGAGGACAGTGAAAATAATCAAAGCTATAGAAATGCTCGATTCTATGAGGTTCACTTTTGAGACACAATCTCTGATGCTCATGATGATCACTGAGAATTAAATGCCACCCTTACCTCCTTTTGCAGAACCCTGCATCACAGGCCAACATAATATCTGCAGTTTCCTCACAACACCGTGAAAGAAAGAGGCCAGAGGAGGGGTTGGCGTAGCAGGACAGGCAACCTTACAAAATGTTTAAGTAGCCCTGAACCTTCCATTTGCAATGCCTCATTTAAGCATACGGTTCTCTCTGGCCTTAGGCACAGCTGTGCTCCGAGGCAGTCAGCTGGGGATTATTACCAGACAGTTCAAGGATTCCATAGGCCGCTGCACTTAGATGCAACTGATATTTTTGTTTCTTATGTGCAGCATGCTTTTTTCAACCTGGTTAGCCTTGAAGGAGGTACCAGTCCCATACTTGAGAAACAGGGTGGAGGGCGGGACTCTCTTTATGAAAAAGTGTCATCATTATCRCAGAAAGGAGACTATTTAGTTTTCTTGCTTGAGAGCTTCAGCATTATGCTTAAAATGAATATATGTGTCTTATAAAAAATGCAAACATACATAATAGAATAAAATAAAAGTGAATTCTTACTGTCCCACCATACTTCACCTATTCTTCAGAGGTTACCGTTGTTAACGGCAGTTTTTTTGCACAAGAATAAAATCTTCYTTGCTGATTCTGCATCTTTCTTGCCTCTCTGAGCAAGATCCTGGCACTGGGTTTGTCTCACTGCCTTCAGGGCCCACAGAGAATTCTATTAATTTATTTGTCCACTTGTGTCCAGATAAGCATTTCATTGTCACCATGAATGTCCTTGACCTCTATCACTAAGGTTAATGCTCATTTTTTGACTGCCTGAGTTGATAATCTCTCAAAACTTAAAAATCCCTTTGCTGCTTGATCCAGAATTTTCTCGTTATCAGTGTTGATCATTGTCACCTCAGTTAATTAATAAAGATGAACTAAGAGCCTCCTCTAAGAGTAATGTTCTGCTAGTAATCAATGGTAACAGCCAAACACCTTCCAACAGTCCCTTGCACAGTTTAGAGACTTGGGAGTCTTGGGCAAGGTTTAATAGTCAGGGATGGATTTGGATTTCTCTGTATCTAACTCCAACACTCTGAGAAAAATTTCCGTGCTTTTTCCTGCCTCTACTGAGCTTTTGAGTCCTCACCATCCTGTTACGACTCTTCCTTCTCAGACTGTGCTGTTTGGTAGTAGCTAATCAATGCTCAAATGACTTGRGTGTCCTTGAGGACATTACAGTATGATTGAGGAGTTTGTAAAATTGAAGTCTTGGAATTGCAGACCTGAGAGGACTGCAGTAGATATTGTACAACTGGAACACCTTTGAATGAGGTCTATAGTCATAGTAAAAGAAAGTTATGGACCCATCTACTATCAGAGCAAGACCTCAAATTCTTTATGATAAACTGACACAATACCAGTTAGTTAGAAGACAGTAAAACAAAGTATTAATTTAATGCTGAATTAATTAATAATGACATAATGGAGTAATCGGAAGGGAAAAAGAGTTTTTCGGRAAGTTCTTTTGTTTCTGTTTTGGCTGGAGTAACAATTAAGCCAGGGTTACAAGTCTGCTGACTACTTGGGAAGAYTGGAAAGACAGAGGCACAGAATGCCAAGGCTACCTTTAGAATTCCTCCAGTTAATGATGCACAAGTAAAACCAAAGCTGCCATTTATTGATCACTTATTCTATATAGCATAATGCTGAGTGCTTGACATACAATATCTGTCTCATTTCTCACAATTTACCTGCAAGGCAGATATTATTACTTGTTTTTTYAGATGAGGAAACTGAGACATAGAAAAAGTYACTTCTTCAAGGGATAGTCATGAACTAAAATGTTTAAATCTGTTTCTGTAGAAGTGAACACTTCAGCGTCTAGTATTTTCCCCCATGAGAAAATATACTCTGAATTAAAGCAGAGCTATCCAGTTAGTGTGCTACCCAGTTTCCTTTTGTATTGGGGTTGTAATTCAGCATTGCCTAATGAGGTGGAAAGTGGTCAGTTCAATGATCTCATCAAATATATTTTTCTGTTGTTGTTAAAGAAAATGTTGTGTCTGTACACTAGGGATTTGTAGTGTGGGATCTGAAACAAAGCACCATGATGGTTTACTCTGCCACTCATACTGGGAGAGCTTGGGAAGATTTTAGTATCTATGGCTAAACTTTCTCACCTAGGAAATAGGTAAAAACTAACTGCATAAGACAGTTGTGGTTCTTAAAGTGAGATAATCACTGTCGAGCAAAACAAAACCTGGGAAACAATGTTCAAATAATATATTGGCTATATTTTACCAAGCAAATTCCTTTGAATTCACTGTAATAACAAGACTAGCTGAAGTCTCTGGATAGTTTTATACTTTGGGGAGTGGGTYAAACAGTACTAATTCATGAAACTGAGACAAACATGGGAACTTCGTCATTCTGGAATTCGGTGCAGTACCTGGCATGGACGGAAGATCCAATTATAATCACTCTTGAGAACMAGTGCCTTCTTAAATTTTGTATAAGTGCCCCCTAGTCCTGGCCCTTCCCACAGTTTTGAAATGGATAAATTTTTAAAGAAAAGCTCCAGAATTATTCAGACTGCTTTCCTAAATCTGAATTCTGAAGCTTATATCAAAGTCTYAATGAAATAATTCCTTGGATTCAACACTCATGGATGGTCTCATTGCTGGAAGAAGAATTGCTCCCTRGTGACTCCATGTAGGTGTTTAGTTTTAGCAGTGACAAGGTCATCACACTACCATGAAAGAAGTGCTCCAATTTATTCTCAGAGTCTTTTGGCCCTTTGCCCTGGCACTTTGTCCAATAGTCTCTTCAACACATTTTGACTTCACCCACCTTCTCAGACAACCAATTCACTGCACATTATATAAAATTGGTTGGCATTCATTATTTGTTTTGTGCTTTAACACATGTGTGTAACCTCAAGTTCATCCAGAGTCTCAGTGTTCAGAACATTTGCTCTTAGTTATGTTTGTATAGTTTTTGCAGTTTTATTTCCTGGGGGAAGGATGCCAGACTACAAGGCTAACCTAATCTTTCTCTCACTTTAGCACGTCCTTGTGAGCTCTACTGCCGACCCATAGATGGCCAGTTTTCTGAGAGAATGCTGGATGCTGTCATTGATGGTACCCCTTGCTTTGAAGGTGGCAACAGCAGAAATGTCTGTATTAATGGCATATGTAAGGTATTGGGTATGTTTCCTTAATCTACAACTTTATAAAATCATGATCTTTTGAATTCAGAAAGTTGTACATTCTAAGCTTAATTTTTGTGGCACTTGCATGTGGTCTGGTTTTACATATGGTCTGAGACACAAGAAGACAGACTTCCTGGTGTTCATTACTGTCGAGTTTTTTTGTTTTTGTTTTTGTATCAGGGATTGAACTCAGGGGCACTCGAACACTGAGCCACATCCCTGGTCTTGTTTTGTACTTTTTTAAATTTAGAGACAGGGTCTCACTGAGCTGCTTAGTGCCTCACTTTTGCTGAGGCTGGATTTGAACTTGCCATCCTCCTGTCTTAGCCTCCTGAATCGTTGGGATTACAGGCATGCGCCACCAAACCCAGCTATAGTCAAGTTTCCACCTGAGCAGTTTTCCCTTCTGCTATCCCTTTTATTTCTTGATTTGCTGATCTTCACTCTGGTACTATTTTAAGTTTTGAGTAGAGCCAAGTGGAATAACCAAATTAAAAGAGGAATTATTAAGCAAAGACAACATGGATTATTTCAGGAGCATTAAATTTGAGGGAAAAAATGAAATTATTAATCATTTGTGTAGTGCTTTTCATACARCATATTAACATTTAATTCCCCATTTATTGTCAACATGAATTTCTTGGAGAGATCGTATAATGTGTAGTTGTAATCCAGGCTTTTGATTCTATGTAATTTTTTCCACACCCACACCATAAATCAACTCCATCTTTTTATAAATTCTTTAGACCTGATTTGTTAATGCTTTTGAGTATAAAACCATTAAAGGATTCTTTGTCATTGCTTGCAAATTGTTTTGGCTACAAGGAATAAAGCAACAAATCTTGTGATCCAATACCCAAACATAAATCTCAGTTTAAAGAGAASTTGTCTTTTAATTCATTAAAAGAACAGTTACCTAATGAACTGTTAAATAAGCCATAATGGTTTAGCACTGGAGTACTAGACTAGGAACTCAACACCATCATTTTATCAGTTGTGCAACCCTGTACATCTTTCTAAAACCCAGTTTTCTGTGATAAAATTGGGCTATTAATGTATCTACTTTACAGGAATTGTCAAAAAGGGTAAATATGATTATATAGGTTAACACCTTAACAGACAACCTAGCATACAATAAACTCAGTACATTTTGTTTTTGCAAAAATTTATCATATTTTTTTCCACTGGAGAAAATGGACCCTGTGAAAACCTCTTACCCCAAAATCTCCATCATCCTGGGAATAAGCATTTATCTCCTCGAAGGTGCTTTTTTGTTCACTAGCATGGTGACCAAAACATWAAAGGCAAGATGATAAGGCCTGGGAACAGGCATGGGAGAGCTGAGAGCAAGCTGTAAGCAGACTCCAGATTTGAAAGGCTCAGGTGAAGTTTTAAACCAACTAATACCATTGTAGCTACTAAGAGCCCAAATTAATATATTTGAATTAGGTCTATTTCAGAGAGTGAGAGAAGAGGATTATCAGATAATTTAACCACAAGTTGCCCCACCCTGTCTAAAGCAGTGGCTCTTGATTCTGGAAATATTTTAGAATCACCTGGGAAGCTTTTAAAAAWTACTAATTTCTAAGCTCCATGTCAAAGTTATTAATTCAGAATCTCTGGGACTTGGGGTCCAGACATAGATATTTTAAAATGTCCCCAAGTGAGTAGCATATCCAGCTAYAGATGAAAACTATAGATACCAAGAAATTAAAGTGATGCTAAAATTATCTTTTAGATCTAAGTAATTTTGCATGTATAGAGACAGCATTTTTAGTTTGCATTAKAAAACAATGCTTTGAACAAAATATAGGGTGGGGTTAAAATAAATTGGAGAGAGGAGGATAGCTAGTTACTTCCAGAACAGATTCAGTTCTAATTAGGTCTTGGTAAATTTCCTTTATAGTAGAATCTGAAAATCTGACATGCCAACATGTTGGCATGTACCATAATTTCAACATAGACAGCTGAATACATTAATGTATGCAATACATTAATCCTTAATCTCTATTAAAACCAATTAATTGAATTTAATAGACTAAGGCAGATTCTTTCAGTTTGCCTTCCTTTTACTTGGAGCCAATTAAAGCATTATTTAAGCTAAAACTGCCCACTTTCTGTCTGTATTACACTGAGTTAAGTGTTTAAATCCCCAAAATGATGTCAAATCAAATATACTTAATCATATAGATATAGTCTTTTATCTTCCCAATATCCAGGTTGTAGGTATTTTCAGCCTTGTTAGTCTTTTTGTTCATTTATTTCAGGGTTTTTTTTTTCCTTGAGAGGAATTGAGCATATATATTGAAATTTTTTTAAAAAAAAGATATGTCTTCAGAAAAAAATGTATGTAATGTTTAATCCATCTTCTTCATTAACATGAAAAAGTGTTTGCATATATTAATGTATTCAACTATCTATGTTGAAATTATGGTATTTGCCAACATGTTGGCATATCAGATTTTCAGATTCTACTATAAAGTTAATTTACCACGACYGGAATAGAACTGAATCTGTTCTGAAAGTAACTAACTGTCCTCCTCCTACTCCAGTTTATTTTAACATGCCCCCAACTCCAAAGTTTGCTTATCAGAGACACAAATTTACACTGTGATTTTTCAGAATATCTACTGTGATAATCACAAGTATTACATGGAATAAACTTTTAAAAATGTGAGCAGATGCTCCCTCTCTCCCCCTCTCTCAGCTCTGAATCTCACTGCATTACCTACTGTTTCAAGCCCCATGCTCCTCTTCCAGATCTCTCCCTTCTTTCTTTAACTTCAACTTCTTTTCTCCCAGTCAGCTTATCCTGGCCTTCATTTCCCTGTGAACAGCCCAGATGTCCTGGTCTGTCAAATCATCTGCTTTCTAGACTTCTCTTATCTTTCCAGGGTCTTGTTCATGCTAAGCAAGTGGTCTACCACTGAAGTACACCTCCAGCTCTCCTCTCAGACTTTGGCCTAAATACCTTCTGAGACATAATTGTAATTATTACAACTCTCCTTGAAATCCACAGGCAGTTATCAAGAGCCTCCTACACGAAGTCTAAGCTCCTAAACATGATAATCATGGCTCGTGATTAACTACTCCTTTCATGAGCCATGAATGAATGAATGAATAAAATCTTTAGCTTAGGACTGGTGAAGGCAAGAACTCAAATTAGAAGCTTAGTTTCTCAGGCCAATTCCACTAGTCTTTCTGTATGCCATGRCTTCTTCGAGACACCTCATAAACAGATCACCTGTGAGAAATCCATACAGAATGCACCTGCCTCCTTGCCCCCAAACAGCATCTCAATTTGCATTTGAATTAGCTAAGAGCCAAAAGCTACAGACACAAAAGTAGGTCCTTGTCCTCCCTGGAAGGAAACAAACAAACCACTGCAACCATAAGATGAAATCTAGCATCCAAGGAGCCTGACCTCAAATTCAATCCCTAGGGACACAGAGATCRGACTGGCCATCCAGGAGTAAATGGTGACAGTTTGGTTGGAGATTCTGGCAAGGAGCCAAGCAGATGGGCTGCAGGCCTTCAGCCAGTGTTCTCAAGTCAGGTGCCCTAAGCAGCCCTGTCCACCAGCATGGGTCAGGGAAGGTCCCTGSTGGAGGTGACTCCTGAGAGTGGACTTGAAGATTCCGTACAAACTGACTAACAGAAGATGGTGGATGTCCACTTAAAGAGATCCAGTGTGAGAGGCRCAGAAGGGTTAGGTTAGGCCAGTGTGTCTGGGAGCAGCCATGGATGCCATGGGGGACTGGGATGTCATACTAAGGAGTTCAGGTGCTACCTTCATGGAAATGGAGTTCATCAGAGCTAAGCAGATGACATGGTGTTTTGAATATGACTTTGGGGGAACCACTGTGCTTCTCTAAATGAGTTCTCCCATCTTAAGTGGGAAAAATAATATGTGCTAGTTCCCTAGGACTGCCATAGCAAATTTCCACAAATAGAGGGACATAAAAGATGTTTTGCATGCCCAGTCTGGAAGCTGGAAGTCTGAAATCAAGTTGTCAAMAGGGCTCTTCTTCCCTCTGAAGGCTTTAGGGAAGCATCCTTCCTCAAATCTTCCTAGCTTCTGGTGGTTTCTGACAATCTTTGTCATTCCTGACTTGTAGTTACCTCACTCCAGTTTATACCTTTCTTCATCTTTACAATAGCCATATTCCCTCTGTGTGTCTCTGTCTCTAAATCTCTTTCTTTAAAGGACACCAGTTATTTGATTTAGAATCACCCTAATCTAATCGAGTATGACTTCCTAGTGACAATCAATTAGTACCCTGATTTGATGATATCTGCAAAGATCCTGTCTCCAAATAAGATCACATTCACAGGTACTAAGGACTTTGAAATATCTTTTTGGAGGACACAGTTTAATCTAGGACAAGTACCAACTTTGAAAAAAAAAATGTGGTGAAGAAAGCCTTATGCTACTGTTCCATTCACTAAATGGCATTTACCTGTTTTTTCCAACTAAGCATAGTTCTGACCTGTTTTCACACTTGAAAGTTTCATTGGCTGGGAATAAATCTCACCATAGAACTAGGCATCCTTCCAGTGTCTATCTTTGCTGAGGAACTTAGAAAGGATGACATTCCAGGTGGATTAGTTCATGGGGCTAGTTGCTATTTCAGTTCAATCCCTTGAGAATTGCAAAACAAAACAATGTTGACTCTTAAGCAGAGAGAGAGAATTCAAAGCAATTGATATAATTTATCCACTCCCCATTGTGGGGCTGTCTGATCCCCAGAGTCACATCAGAGAAGAGCTAAGCTGAAGTCATTATTCACATTTGRCAGCAGCAGCAGCAGAGCCACCCCTAACTCCACAGAAGACAGAAAGACCATTCGGTTGTGGCCTTATTGCCAGTGCATGATCTGAAAGAGGAGAGTGAAATCTAGTTCTTTGCTCCTGAGATTTCCTAATGTTTCACATGCAACAGGGAAAACTGGTTTACACCTTCACAGACCTTCCATTATATACTTAATTCACTTTTGGTTGCACTAGGCACAGCTGACTGGGAAAACAAATTGGGTGAGATTTACACCAGAATCCGTTCAATAAGCATTGGCATAGCATGTTGAGGACATGTGCATGGCYCCTTCCCCCGACCCTTGCCTCCCAGTTGTGCAGGATAATATTGCTGGAGGAACTCAGGGAGAAAGACATGGTTAAGTGCAGTAGATAGAGAAAGGAAGAGGGCTGAGAAAAGAAAGACAGTGGACTGAGCCTGACATGACTTTCCTGTGTACACATGTAAATACATAATAGTGAATCTCACCATTRTGTACATCCACAAGAAATTAATTTGAAAAAATAACTAACGGCAAATGGCAGAAAGATCAATAGAGGAAAGAGGAAGGAGAGGTCCTGGGGTCTTAGAACAAGATATACTCCATGCTTGTATAATCATGTCAAAATGGATTCTACTGACATGCGTCACTAAAAAGAACAAATAAAAGAAAAAGAGAGAGAAAAGAAAGATGTGGATTCTATGGGATGTTCTTTTTTTTTTTTTTTGTCTTTTTGTATGCCTGCCTTTATTCTTTGTTTTAATCTATTGTTCCTTGGTAGAGATTAAAGAAAACACTTTAAAATTAATATATCTCAGAGTCAGTTTCCCTGGCTCACTCCAAGTCAGGRAAGGTATGAAAGTCATTGGGAATATGATTTGTAAAGGTCAGCTTATTAGAGGATGCTCAGACTTGACATCAACTTATCACTGGTGAAGGGCTGGCATTTTACTTCTAACCACTCCAGGCATATGTCTGGAATTTTTTTTTCCTTTTCATTTGATTAGCATAATTAAGTTTTGATATTTAAAAAAAAATCTCTTAGGACTTTATTTTCTTCCCTGATTGGGTCAAGCAGCACAATCTTTGTGCCTACAGGAAATTAGAGATAGTTAACCTCAGGAATTGAGCTATTTTCTGTCAGTGGGCATTAATTCTGTTTAGCTGGTAGAGAGTATGAAGTCTCCGACTAATCTCCCTTTCAGAAGATTGAGGTGACTTTAAAATTAGAAAAAAAAATGATTCTTGAGAAGAAAAAGAACCTCCTGGGGCACAATTATGTATCAAGGGCTACGGCGCAGCTTTCCCCATGCAGCTGTGGAAGAAAGCAGGCAGCAGAGAAGTTCAATTGGTGCTCCCGTGTGCTTCATGACTTTCCATCTAAGTGTCATGATTATTTGCAACCTGTGCTACAGGACACCGCAGGTTTCATTACTCCCCTTCTGTAGGCAGGGCTTTTCAAAATGAAAAAGACTCAACCCTGGTGACAGACTAAAGGGAAAGATGATGGTTCAGGAGGACTGCTGGGCAGAACACTGAGAATGGATTGTGTCCACAGCATAGAAACAAAATTCGTCTTGGTCCAGGAAGAACTGGTTGTTCCTCCTCTGCAGCTGGAGGGAGGGAGGTCAGGATGGCTGGCTGTGGCCAAGTTTAAAGTGCACTGGAGCTGGGGTCATGGGAAGATCCAGAGGGTCTAATGATGAGTCTAAGATTTCCTCCCTCCTGGGACTGGCATCTTCTCATCATTAAGCCACRTTCCTCCTGATGATGGCTGATTAACCCACTGTCCTTAAAGAACCAAGTTGCAGATGGAGTCGTTACATCMCCTCTGGGAAATCTTGGTGGAGAGGAGGGAGTATAAGGTTTGCACTTGTGAAGACTTGCTGCTCCACCGACTCCAATTCCAAGACGTTTTTGTAGTTAGGTTTTTGGAACTGTGTTCAGTTCTGCCTTTGACCCAGGAAAAATTAGAGACCKCACTCAGTGTGTGCCTCTCTCTCTTCTAAACAAGGATGGTCACCTTCTGTATCCACAGATTCCATATTCATGGAATCGACCCACCTCAAATGGAGAACTTTTGGAAAAAAAAAAAAAGACTGTGGCTATACTGAACATACAGACTTTTTTCTTGTTATTATTCCCTAAACAATACAGTATAATAATTTTTATATAGTATTTACATTGTATTAGATATTGTGAGTAACCTAGAGATGATTTGAAGTACATGATATGCATAGGTTTATGCAAATGCTATACCTTTTATATAAAAGACTTAAACATCTGCAAATTTTGGTATCTGCTGTCGGTATGGAGGGATGACTGTCCTTCCTTAACCATTGGCTTTATCACTGGTAAATGATTTGGTTCCTCCTCTGACCTCCGTCAGGAGAAGAAAACAAGCATCTGTCTTTGTACCCTTGCAAAGCTACACAGGCTTATGAAGAACCAAAGGGGAARAGAAGTCAAAGGTCTGGGCAGCTCTGTGTCTCCTGCCAGTGTTATTCATCCTGACTTCTCTTCCTTCAGATGGTTGGCTGTGACTACGAGATCGATTCCAATGCCACCGAGGATCGCTGTGGWGTTTGTCTGGGAGACGGCTCTGCCTGCCAGACTGTAAGGAAGATGTTCAAGCAGAAAGAAGGATCTGGTAATAAACAAATAAATAATAGAAGTGGCAGGAGACTGGGAACAGAGGCCCCCAAAATAATTGACAGATTCCTAGGTTTTGTATATTAAAAAAAAATAGCTTATAATTTTCAAAAGCATTTGAAATAGACTCTAGCCCTCAGTATAAAGGAGAAAGAGCTCCTGGGAAGTTTTAAGAGGGGTGGTTGATTGCTAAGAAAATACAGAAGGCATCACAGAGACATAAAAGAGAGAGAGAGAGAGAGAGAGAGAGAGAGAGAGAGACAGACAGACAGACAGACAGACATAGAAGGGCTTGCTGTCGGCTCATGGGAACAGAGATGAGAGTGTGATCTCTGGAAACAGGCATCACAAGAGGATCAGGGCTGAAGGTCAATGGCATCAAACAGACCAAGAACTAAGGGAGAAAAGAAACCAAAACTGGTCAAGAAGAAAGCAGACACAGGCAGGTTCTGCCTGGGACAGCAGCAGAGAATCCAGCAACAGGTCCAAAGGCAGAAGAATTAAGATACCTTTAAGGCGGAAGGAGAAGCAAATTAGGGTTGCTTCAGCTCTCCCTCATACTCAATTGCTCCTTGTAAGCGGGTAAAGGGGATCCACTCTATGTTCCCTATGACTCTCAGAGCAACTCTTCTAACTCTTCTCCCCCACCCTTTTTTTCTCTTTTTTTAAAAAACCCTTACTTCATTATTCTTTCCCTGTAACTATCATTTACAAGATTTCTTCTTTTACCAGCTTTTGACYTCTGATAATCCACCCTCACCCCAAATCAGCTGTGACTCTGTGCAGGTTTGCTTTCTGTGAAAATAGTTCTCATGTCCTTTGGCCCCATCAATGAACCCCAGCTTGGGTGTGGCTTTCTTGGGAGAAGGAAATAGGTTAGACTTGGTGACAACTCGGGGTTTCTCATTTGAGCTTCCCCAGATGTACCCTGAGACAAGAATTCAGGAACAAATAATTACTTGGGAAATAAGATGTCCTGGGAAATACCAGTAAGGAGTTGAGAAGTGAAAGAGGGGAAGCTGAGAAAGGATGTATCATTGAGCTGTTGCCATTGTGTCGGAAGCCGGTATAGAACTTGCACGTCTGAGTTTTCCCATCGGAAGGGTAAATGGGTGAGAATCACCAGTCCCACCTGTCATGGTCCAGGCTGCCTGGGGTGGGGATTAGGTTGTTAAATCTCTGGGTTTTGTGGAGAYGTCAATGTTGGAAATAGAGAGTCCAGCAAGCTCCACAGCAGGAGGGCCTGAGGGAGAGAGGCAGTGTCTGCTACCTAGAGACGATGCCATGAACTTACCAAGTAGGATCCCAAGAGTATCCAGTGTGTTCTTCATTTGATGATGTGGCATCTTGCTCCCTAGTAAACATAAATTTGTTTAAATTCTATTCCTGTATCTTAATTGTTGACTACTGAACTACTAAGTTTAAATTTTTTTAAATAATTTTTTTAAAGAGAGAGAGAGAGAGAGAGAATTTTTTTTTAATATTTATTTTCTAGTTTTCGGCAGACACAACATCTTTGTTTGTATGTGGTGCTGAGGATCGAACCCGGCCAGGCGAGTGCGCTACCGCTTGAGCCACATCCCCAGCCCTAAATTTTTAAATGTAATTCAGATCCTTCTCTTTTAGAATTAGCACTGAAAGATTTTATTCCCTGTTTTTGATTGATAGCTTTATTTTAGATGAGAGGTATCCTTCAGATTACTTGCTAGGGATGTAAATTTAATAATATGTTTATGTGAATTTAATAACAATATGTTTTAAGCTCATGATTAAGCACCCTATGATGGCTAACATCTTTTGATCTTTGCGAAGGTGTTTTATACAAGTTTTCCATTATTTAGATGTGGCCTTATACTGATGTGATACAGCAATTTGTATACGGGGTAAAAGCGGGAGTTCATAATCCACGTGAATCAACTGTGTAATATGATGTATTAAGAACTATGTAATGTTATGAACGACCAATAAAAAAATAAATAAATAAATAAATAAATTAAAAAACTCACTTAAAAACATATTTCTGAGCCAGGCATGGTGGCACACACCCATAATCCCAGCGGCTCGGAAAGCTGAAGCTGGAGGATCGCAAATTCAAAGCCAGCTCAGCAATGGTGGAGGCATTAGGCAACTCAGTGAGACCCTGTTTCTAAATAAAATACAAAATAGGGCTRGGAATGTGGCTCAGTGGTCAAGTGCCCCTGAGTTCAATCCCCATTGCCAAAAAAAAAAAAAAAAACGTATTTCTGCATTTAACCTCATTTTTATTTATCCATAGAGATTCTTACTTGGGCCTCTGATATGCTGTGCTCCTAACATTATGGTAACTCCTTTGAAAACCAGAGTTGTCATCCCTGAATATTTTCCATTTAACCTTTGAGTCACTTAGAAAATTGTGAGGATCCCCCCCCCTTTCCTAGTCTCTTGGGGAAGAGAAAAAGAGGCAAGTAACAAAACTTGCTCCCCCACCCTGCACTCATTTGGAAGTCTCAGAGCCTCTTGCCACAGACCCACTGCTGAGTATTTGACTTCTCTGTGCCCCTTCATGCTTTCCGTTCTCCTTTACCCATTTGCTACCCACAGGGATTCTGATGGTTCTTGGCACCCAGAGAATGGTGTCAGCCTTCAACTGTTTATGCCTCAACGTGTTCCTCAGATCTCTCTGACCCTGCCACCCCAGCACACTGTGGAAATTGAATTTTTATTTTGGACTCTGCAGCATCCACTAAGGAAGTCTTGACTCCATAGACCCACAGGACATTTGCCAGATCCTACCTTTGCTCTATGCTTAGTGAGGCTATATCACCATAAAATCCTGGCTATCCCCAGCCCACTATTTAAATGACACCAAGAAGTGAGGTAAAATTTTGGGAAATGCAACTAGATTGCATTGGAATAGTTAACTAATGTGAAGTCCAAAGTAAAAAAAAAAAGGAACTTAGTTCCCCTCTTTGAAGACATCCTGTATATAATTCCCTCTTTTTGTTTACATGCTGTCTTGTATTGCTGCCTTATTTCACCTTATATTTAATTTTCTCTCTAATGCCGTTAACTGAGAGCAGAATTGTCATTTAGTCTTTGCATTACCCTTCTCAATTCCAAACTACTTGTCTTAATCTACAGTAAGTATTCAATAAGTACTCATATAAATTTAAGTTTAAAAAGACTGATTTCATATTCCTTTGGTAATAAAGGAGAAAAAAATCATTAACTATTCTACAGTTATGTTAAAGGAATATCYGAGAAAGAACTTTTCCTCCTTGATGTCCTGCCTACAGTTTGGCTCTGGTGTTGTTACTCCTTGGAAACACAAGCCAGCCTTTTGGGTCAGGGTCCCTTCCCTACTGTGGCCCAAAGCCATAAATTGGTATCATGGGTCCTGTAACGCATGTCTGAAAATATTCTGTTGTCATCTCTCCTCTCCCAACTGTGGTTTCTGTGGTGGGTGGCAGTGGATTATTTCAGGAACTTGATGTTTTAACTCTTATCTCCCTGGTCAAAAGAACATGGCCTTTGCTCTCAGGTATCTTTGACTTGTGGTGGATTATTTCCAGAACAAGTATGATTTTTCAGCCAGTCACACAGGGGATTGTGATTGTTTGGACATGGCTTTGATAGTCCAGTGCTTATGCATCAGATCCTCAGAGTCTCACTATCTGTTCACGCCTGTGGCCATGAGAGAACCCAGTGTGTTTTTTTCTGGGGGAAATAAGCAACCATCAGGCAATACCAGGAATAGTGAAGCTGGAGAACAGGTGGAGACTGGCACTGGGAAATCATGGAAATGCATGKTAAATTTCTCAAAATAATTTAACAGTCCTTCAAACCCTGCTTGGCCAGATTGATCCATGGCTTCTCCCTGTGTTCTTTTCCTTTAATACTTACTTTGGCTCACAGCTCTTTTAAACAGGGTCATTTAAAAAGAAATATAAGTGAAAACGTCTGCAATTAAAGTGCCCTTGGTGGTCAAACACTGCTCCTCCTCCCCCTCCTCCTCCCTCTCTCAGGAGACCTTAGGAATGGAGGGTCCCTATTGCCCTGGACTATGAAGGCATGAAATATTAGGCAAATTCTTCGGTTTATTTCTTATGGGTGCTCTAAGAAAAAATATGATGTGTAATTAAAATAGGCTGGCAGGCAAGTGAGCAGGTTCTATTCTAAATGACCATTRGCCTTGGAAAGTTAACCCTTGGACTTCAGCTTCTGAGGCTCCTTCTGACCCTGAGTGAGAATTTTTTTTTTAATTGTCTCTCTTCTGATAGCCTCAGGACTGATCATATCTGTGGATATCTGAGAGTTGAAATTGGGCAGAGTTTGAAGGGGAAGGTGTCTGTCTCCCTGGCCTTCATGGATGTCCCAACAGAGCTTCTTTCTCTGTAGAGATTTGTTTAGTAGATTTGAGGCCATGCACCTGATGGTACCATAGTTCTCTTTAATTAGTACCATACTTGAGAAACATAAGCCTCTTAAGTAGGCTCCCCATAACAGCTTTCATTTTCTACTGTTGGAAAAAAAAAGTAAATGGCATCAGGCATAGTTCCATGGTTACTGTGATTAAAAGTATCCAGAAATGCAAGAACTTGGACCCAGAATACAGTATCCTATATAGAGATATTAACAACTGCCTGATTTGTTTGTTCKTTCATTCATTTATTCATGCATTCACTCACTCATGGATTAAGAAATGTTAATTGAGGATCTATTGTGCAGTTGGCCTGGAGGACTCTCCCCACTGCCTTCTCTGTCTTATACCATTGAAGTCACTGGCCCAAGACCCTGCTCTGAAACTTGACCCTTAGGCAGGAATTAAACAAGGAGCCTGTTCAGAAGGAAGTTGATGGACATTAGGCTTGGTTTTTCCAAGAATGCAGTAGGCTTATTTCTCAGATCTGTGACCTTTATCCTGATCTCTCATGGCCGTATTTTTGGCCTAGACGTGGACCCTTTGTAGCCCAGTTTCCTCAGTCTTGGTTTGTTTCCTGCTCCTTACACCCCTGGATTCTGTATTACTTACCTGCTTTGGTGTTAGACATCAGCTAGCTCTTTCCTGACATGTTTTGGCATCTTGGACTTCTTAAAACCACCACTGTGGCCTGCTTCTCTGGCCTTAGTGAGCTTCTCTGGACTTTGTTTTTGCTGGATCCTGTGATCACTAAGCTAAGCTGGTCTTGTTCACACGGCTTTGCCAGTTACTGAGAATCAGGGACCCATTATCTGAGTTCCTGGGAACTCTCATATGGCTAACTAGACTACTTAACTCAGTGCCCTAACTACCAGCCTCAACTTCTACCTCCTTACTCCGATCATAACCAGAATGAGCTTAGACATTCATCTCAAAACCTTTTTATGTCACTAGAATAGTTACCATGCAAAACTCATCTTTAATAATATGGATATAAACAAAATCCCAAATATATTTAGCAGATTTGTTGCACATAAYAGAGTCATAACTCTCTTGGCATGATACTTAATTCAATTTCCTCTTCCTGAAACAACATACACATAGTTCATTTTCATAGTTAAGAATATTAAAGAAAAAAAATGGGAGCTAGGGATATGGCCCTACGGTAGAGCACTTTCTTAGCATGCAGAACACTGTGGGTTCAATCACAGCACTACAAAAGTAATAGTAATAGTAATCTGCGATTTAGAAAACAGAAAAAGAACAGAGAAAATCCCTGTTCTATAGAATCTGCAGCTTTAGAAAAGGAAATTCTTGGAATGGAGTAAAAGTAACAGTGGCCTGGAATTACATGTGTACCTGACCACCTAGGTACCCACCTATTAATGATTCTGTGTGTTTATGTGCTTGGTTCTTCTGGTGATGGCTCCCTAGGCTCTGCACTAATCTGCTGGTTGGAAGATAAAATGCACATAGTTAAGAACTAACAACATTCACAGGTTCTGTTACAGCCACCTGCCTAATCCCATAATGTTACATGAGGTTTCCTGGGAAACATGCTACAGAACAGACTCTTGTASGGCAAGGTGTCTGAATCCCTGGCCTTCTAAACTCTGAGGAAGTAGAACCCACCACTGCATAGGCAGGAGGAGGAGCTGTGGCAGGAGCGTGAAAGGTCTGCACAGGACTGGCTAGTGGGAAGAGGAAGAAATTATATGCTTCAAGACTCAAAGTAGCTCCTGTACTATACCATGAGGTTCAATGTGTTTGCTGTTAATTTCAGAGAGAGGAGAGACCACTCCTTGATTTTAGGTGGGTGACTAAAATGAGAGGGTCAGTGCTAGAAGACGAGTTCCCTGGCAACATACAAACTTGCCTGGCATGGGAGAACCCAGTGCTAGGAGCTAAAACATGAATCCAAGTTTAGGGGATGAGGTCTGGATTAAGGCAGTGCATATAGAAAGGATGAGCATCACATAAGACAACGTTCCAGAAAGAATCCAGGTTCATAATGATAAGAGGGGACATAGCTGTCATAAAGCCAAAATGGAGTCTGTTCTGCTGCATGTTTCCTRGGAAACCTCAAGTTGGAATGGGTGRGAGGAGAGRGAGAATGCTTGGACACTCTGCTTGAGAATTTTCTTATCAAGAGGACTAAAGACTCTCMGTGGTTTAGGGCTGTAATCCTTTGTTCTAGAAGCATTTAGGACAGGAAGCTGCCTTAGTATCTGTTCCTTCTCTTATCTTTCCCTTCCACTGGCATCTAGCAAGACAGTTATATTTGCTCACCATGTGTAACAGGATTCTCTTACCCTGATAAACCTCTTTTGAAATAATTGATTCTAAAACTCTAAGTCAAGGGCAAGTCAATCCAACTTCTTTTTATTGCTGTTGTTTTATTCTGCTTCTTTTAATTTTTTTTATTTTTTAATTAGTTATACATGAGAGTAGAATGCATTTATGCACTTTGTTATACATAGATGAGATATAATTTCTCATTTTTCTGAGTGTACATGTTGCAGAATCATATTGGTCATGCAGTCACATATATACATAAAGTAATAATGTCTGTTTCATTCTACTATCTTTCCTATCCCCACATCTCCTCCCCTCCCCTCCCATCACTTCCCTCTACCTAATCTAAGGTRACACTGTTCTTCCCCTAGTGTTTTCCCTTTCCTTTCAATACTGGCAGAAGTGGCTAATGTTTCACAGTAGAGAAGATGCAAGAAAATTGATTTTGCTTGATTAATATGTTCATCATTCTTAACTCTTTTGAATTATTTTTACCAATCCTTCTTCTATCTAAAATCTATGTTACCAATCCTTCTTCTATCTAAAATCTATGTAGATACAGAACTGATATTTGCTGAATGCTTTATTTTAGTAGAAAAATCAATCTGCCCACGATAAATATTTCCAACTTTAAAATTCTCTAAATGGAAGAATAAAAAGTAAACTGTTTTTATAATTTTTCTCCATATCTTCCCTCTACCCATTTTTCTGTATTTTTATTGATACATTATACTTGTACATAATGATGGGTTTCATTGTTACATATTTGTGTATGCACKCAATATAACAATATACTTTGGTCAATATCATTCCCCTCATTTTTAAAGCAAGGAACAAAGTAGGAGGTATAATATTTAAAGTGATTTGATTTCCCTGCATGAGTTCTGCTATGAGAAGGCATTCAACACCCTGTCAGAAGATGGTTACAGATAGCAACACCCCAAAGGCAGTTTTAAAAATTGCATTAGCTTCAATTACATGTGATAAATATCTTCCCCAAGGTAGTTTTGCATCAGTCATTTTAATCAGCTGTTTTAGGCAAGTGTGTGGGAGCCAAATGAAACTTAATTGAATACTACAAGACTCATACTTTTGTTCCTCTGGATGAGAGCTTGCAATTTGAAAAATGAAGCTGAGGTTATGTCCTATATCCAGTTTCTGAGCAAATCATCGCTGCTGAACAGGCCAGTGTTTGACTCCCAGGACTCATACTACTTTCATATCTGGGGGAGAAGAGCAATCAAGCACTTTCTGATGACTGAGATGAAGGTCTTACTTCTCAGGCTGAAAAACCCTGTATATGTGAAAATGAAAGGAAGATTGATAGCAGAGAGGAAGGGGATCAGAGAAAGGGAGGAGGGTAGGTAATGGGAAAATACTGGAGAATGAAATCCACCAAATTATGCTATTTCCTTGTATGAATAAAACACAATAAATCACATATATACACACTAATTAAAATAACAGCAAAAACAATAGCAATAATAGAAGGAAGAGCAAAAGAGAAAGCAGATTGGGGGAGAGAGGAGGATAGGGAATGGGAAGGTATTGCAGAGTGAGGTTGATCAGGTGGTGTGCATGTATGATTATGGAATAATGGATCCCACTATTATATAATTATAATATTAAATAATTATACATATAACATATGCATAATTATAATATTAAATAATTATACATATAACATATGTATAATTATAATGCACCAATTAAAAAAGACTAGTTATATCTATGGGGAAATTAATGGGATGATCAGAGCCTTAAAACCACATTTTGTTTGAAAAAGTTAAAGAAACAAACAATAGTCAGCTTAGAAGAGAATAAGATTGTTGAACACTAGAGTGAAGAGAGCCCTCAAATGGCATCATTCAGTCCCCTGCTTTGTTAAGACAACATTCAGAGGAGTCGAGTGAATGACTGAGAGTCACAGAGCTAATTCATGATGTAGAGACTAGAAGACAAGTCTTCTGACTCCAGTGCCCTAGGGCACCTTTCATATAACCTTCTCTAAGTCCAGGTTCTTTCCATTCTGTAAAGTGATGTCTCTTAGGCTAAATCACACTGAAGCATGACATGCTTGGCGTAGAGCCTGMAAATGGAGGACACTGCTGTGCCAATTCCTTCTTCACCAGCGCGCCTCCCACCATGACAACCAGTAAGCGAGAAGACTGTGGTTAGAGCTGTTCGTCATCTCTACGTGGATATCCACATATGCTTTTTCAGGAGGCTGGATAAGAACACATGAAAATAAACTACAAATTCCTATTTTAGCAAGACATTAGGGGGAAGGGGAGGGGCTTTCTAATGAATGGATTGTCCAACAGCAAAAGGCTATACCCAGAACTAAGTTTCTCATCAGGGCATGCATTCAAACAAGCCAGGTGGCAATCAACGCAAGATTTCCTCCAGAATTTTCTTAATGAATAGAAGCCAGGATTAAATTACTTGTAAGACACTTTTTTTTTTTAACTTGCTGGCAATAGGGAGGAGGAGAAGTATGTATCCAATGCTATGTTTAGGAAGACTCATCTGACAGCAGCGACAAGTGGCGGAGGGAGTGGCAGAGGGAGAAATGCTGGCAGAAAGCTGGCTGGGAGTTGTAACATTCTGAATCAGCAACATAAAATCACAGAAAAATAGATGCTGTATTCACCAAAAAAAGCTACAGTGTCTAATCTGCATTTATTTTACCTCGTCTCACAAAACTGTTTACACATTGAGTTGCAAAGCTCCTGAAAATTCTGYTCCTGGTCAAGCTCTTTAAAATTCTCAGTAACTGGTGCTTCTKCCAATCCCAGTGGACACCCTGCAAGGGTACAAGAGAATGGGGACCCAGGGAAGAGGATAAACGAAGGGTCAGAAACAGACTGTGTTCAGCCAGGAAGCTAGTGTGTCTCTTTAACTATTATCTCTTCAATTCTCAGGTTATGTTGACATTGGGCTCATTCCCAAAGGAGCGAGGGACATAAGGGTGATGGAAATCAAAGCAGCAGGAAACTTCCTGGCCATCAGGAGTGAAGACCCAGAAAAATACTATCTGAATGGAGGATTTATTATCCAGTGGAATGGGAACTATAAGCTGGCAGGGACGGTCTTTCAGTATGACCGGAAAGGAGACCTGGAGAAACTGCTGGCCCCTGGCCCCACCAATGAGTCAGTGTGGATCCAGGTAATGCAGAGGGGAAGGGAACTGCAGRCGTGGATGCGGTGTAGCCTCTTTTCCTTTTCCAGGTATTTGCTGGGGCATATAAAGTAACAATCATTAAAACTTCTTCTAGCAAAGAAGAGAGAGGGGAGCAGTATATTTGTGGGTCTCATCCTTTATTGCTTAGGAATTGCTAAAACTYCCATAATAAAATGCCAGTGGCTCTCAAATCCCCCATTAGGAAGTCTGAGTTGTTTCCAGGCTGGTTTACYTGAGGGTAATTATTCGTCAGATATRTAACAGAGCTTGCAGCCTACTGTCAGTGTGACGTGAGTCTCCAGGTAGCTTCCCAGCACTGAGGAAGAAGGTACATGCTGGCAGACGCTTGTCCTCAGGCAGAGGGTTTGCCTTTGTGAAGCTCTAGGAGGAAGGAGGTGATAGGATACAGTATGTGCTCTTCAGAGGCACAAGGACTTGTCGTTCATTTTGGTGTTGAACTATAGAAAAGAAAAAAGGCATGACTGTACTGGTAGAGGCAAGGCAGACTGGGAACAGCAGATACTCCAGACAGTCAATCTAGCCACATTGAAAAGTTAAAGGTCAGGGTTGGCAGCTGTGGTCCATGAATGTCAGCAGACTTTATTTCTGACCTGGTCAGAAGGGCAAAAAGATGTACATATGGGAATCTCAACTCCAGGGAGCAAATAATTCACCACCTCTGAGTTTAAGGTGAATCTAATTCAAATGTGCTGTAGGATGGCCTATAGGACAAGGAAGTGAAGGGACGATCCCAAGAGCAGCACACATTAGCAAAAACCCATGACATTCTTATCCCAGAATTAYTATGCATTAAAGGAACTAACCAGCTGAGAGTTTGGACAGAGCATCAAAAGACAACAAACAGCAAGGGCGTGATAACAGTTAATTTATTTAGTGCTAATCTTGTGTCATGTTCTAATAACTTTACGTGTATTTACTCATTTAGCCCTCATCATAACCCCATTAGTAAGTACTATTATTACTTAGTACATGAGGGAACTAAGGCACTTACCTGTATTTACGAAGTTAATAATTATATAAGACACAAGTGACCTWTCAGCTGGTTGTTGGAAAGGACACTCCCTGACATTCTCTCAGAGTAATGTCCATGTGATTGGACATCCCCATTTACACAAATGGAAATCCAACCAAAAAATAACGGAATGGAGACYATATAGATATGGACAGAGGTAGAGGGAGGTATGAAAGTAGAGGTACAGRCACAAATATGGACCTAGATATAGGTCCATTTAATGGTATCTGTTTCAGTGTGTATTCTCTTAACTACTTTCAGATGATGRACCTTTGTGTAGAGTTTTGACCTGACTGTGGTTTGCAGTCTAAAGTCATGACATCGTGTGATGTGACCCTTTTCTTGCCTTTAGCTCCTATTCCAGGTGACTAACCCAGGCATCAAGTATGAGTACACAATCCGGAAAGATGGCCTTGACAACGACGTGGAGCAAYTGGTGTACTTCTGGCAGTTTGGCCGCTGGACAGAGTGCAGTGTGACATGCGGGACAGGTGAGGGACAGCTACTGTCACTAGGAACCCTAGCCACCGTCCTAGAGTGGTCCTTAGAAGCATCTTAACCAGTGGTTTGTACTCCATGTGCACGGATCTGCAGGGTGCCAACACGTGGCCCAGGGACCCTATGGGCAGTGACAGTGTAGAGATGTGGCTTAAAGGCAGAGGCACTTCTGCTCACATCTCATTGGTTGGCCTTAGTCACTTGGACATCATCTACCTGAAAAGGGAGGTTGGGAGAGATGAACGTAGCACAAGGTCGTTTGGGGCGCATAGCTGTCCACCATGGTGCCAGACGAACTCTCCAGGGCCTGTGAAGGCAGGTTCAGGGCCTGTGGGTACTTGGGGCTTTCCTTCTTTTAAAGGGCTCTAGTAATAGCACCATGTGTGAAGTCTCCATTTCTTTTCTCTTTTTTGGATCATGTCCAAGTTGATTCTAAAACTTTTTGCCTCCAGCCTATAACTACTGCCTATAAAACTAGGGCAGCTGCAGAGTGAAGAGCCGGAGTCTGGGACCCAGCAAAGGGAATAAAAAGTGAAGGAGTGAATGGGTCAGGAGGCCAGGCTGCCTCTCCATGGGCTGCCCTCTCACATTCTCAGACTCTGCCRGATCCTTCACTGGCCTCACCACTCCAAGAGACATTGTAGAAAGAGGTCTCCCAACGACCGTTGGGTCATGCACCTTCAACATTATAAACAATTTTCGTATAATTACTCTCTTTATTTTCCTGATTCATCACAGGAAACCAAGGTCAGCTTTTAGAAAACACAAGGATGAAGACCTCATTTTACAAAGTATGAGGTTTGAAAATGCTAAACCTCTGGAAATGGGTTGGGGACAAGGGTGCTATCTGTGGCTGCAGCCATAAGTGGTGTTGCTGGGAGAGTCCATCCTGTGATTTCCCCTGGTGTGTTAGCATTTCCAAATGTACTGACCTCCTGTCCCACCCTCATTGCCCAGGGTGATGGGAGGGGTTCCAGAGAAGCATAGGTCATTTAAGCAGAAAATAAGTGGATGAAAGAAACTTCCCCAGAGGAGCAGTTGTGAGGAAAAGGAAGTCACTGTGAATGTAGTTACCAGTACTTTTTCAATTTATGATCCTTTTKGTTCTTGTCTTTCAATGAAGCTCAAGTTGAAGCTTTAAGTTTAAATCATTTGTCCCAGCCCATCACAGAGTAAAACTTAACCAATACTAATGGGGCAGGGACTCCCCAAACAGGAGACCATCCTCCACCCCTCCACCCTCTTCTATTTCAAGGCAGGATGAGCCCTTTGATTCATGTGCAATATTTCCAGACACTAGGAATAAAGAGATARGTGGCTGGGTTTTGCAATGGTGATAGTGTTTTAATCAGCCTTTGTRTCACTCTGACTAAAAGACCTGACCAGAACAATTAGAGGAGGAAAARTTTATTTGGAGCTCCTGGTTTCACAGGTCTAGTCCACAGCTGGCTGACTCTATTGCTCAGGGACTGAAGTAAAGGCAGATCATCATGGCAAAGGGATCGATGAGGAAGGAGCTCAAGACATGGCAACAAGAAAACAGAGAGAGCTCTGCTCATCAGGGACAAAAAGAGCATTTTGGGGCTCACATGAAACATAATCTCCTTAGCTTTAACTTCTTTGTGGAGTTTCTAGACTCAAAGAGCATAAATATTATGACAATGTTAAGAAAAAGGATTAAAAAAAGGTGGGAGCCTTCCTTTTTTGTCTGTTGTGATTATTTTAGTTTTACAGTTTTTACCTGGGAATCATTTCAAACATACCAGAAAAATAGAGAATGTAATAGCAAATCCTGTGCACCAATCACTCGACTTTATCATATCTTACCACTGGGTCATGTTGGTTTCAATTTTCATTTTTCAAGAGAAACATCCCACAACTAGGGTTAAGGAGCATACCCCAGCTTCACATTCATCCTCTTTTCCCCAGAGTTAACACAGGCATGAAACCAGTGCTTATTATTCTCATATATGTCSTTGAACACTTCTGCTACACGTGTATACAGTGATGCCTATTTCTTAGGCAGTTAAGCTTTCTGTAAGTAGTATCATATTCAAGGTATCATTCCTTGCTTGTTATATTTATTCAATTTATGCTTTTGAGATAAATCCACACTGAATAAAGTAGTGTAGCATATTTATTTTAGGAGCTGCATATTATTCCCTTATATGAATGCCCCCAAATTTATTTATAAATTCTACTATTTTGCATTTCCTAACTATTTCTGCAATGCTATAATGAGCACCTTATAATTACTGCCTTCTTACCTCAATATTTGAGCTTTCTCAATTTGTTTATCTATCAGTGGAATTCCTGGGTCATAAAGTGTATTCATATTGCAAGAGTGAGTCAGTGAACTCATAGGTGCTGTGAAATATTTTAAAATTTCCAGGGAAATAGAAAATTTTAAAGAGACACACAATACTTAACATCTCTAGCACATCACATGAAGTACTAGCTCAAGGCAGTGCAGTTTCATGAGTGGGTCTCATTACGTTCCTTTCAATGACATCTTACTTTGTGACACTGGATTTTCAATGGGTGCTGTGATTTAAAAAAGAAAATCACRTACCTCCTGAAAATGAATATGGAACAGAAAMTATGGTATCTAGTCTTGTTCTAAGATTTGAAAAGYTGTGYATRTCTAATAGTTGCACAAATCTCATTTATAAGTTAATTTAAAATGAAATTCAAATATTATTTTATCTTAGCTGGGCATGGTGGCACATTCCAGTGTCACAGGAGGTTGAAGCAGGTGGATCCCAAGTTCAAAGCCAGTCTCAGCAACTTAAAGGGGCCCTAAGCAACCTATCAAGAACCTGCCTCAAAATTTAAAAAAAAAATTTAAGGGCTAGGAATGTGGTTCAGTGGTTAAGCATCCCTGGATTAAATCACCTGTGCAAAAAAAACCACACACACACACACACACACACACACACACACACACACACAAAACAAACACATACACTCTATATCTATATACACACCTATATGTGTATATATATGTATATATATGTATAAATAATATAATAACACATATATTATATAACATATATAAGGACTATTACTTCTTAGGAAAAGTTGGAAGAAATTGGACTAATAATAACATCCTTACAAGAAACTTGCTGAAAGAAATTAACCTGAGTCACCCATAAAAGATCACCAGTAAAAATACAACAGATGCATGATCAATGGAGAAACATCAAATGCAGGTCTCAATAGGAAACTGCAGGACTCCTTATTCAACAAGAGAATATTTTGGCAAAAATCCAGGATTACTTGCACAGTGATAGAAAACCACATTTTTGCCCATTACAGACTTAGTGCTGTGGGTTCTCTCAGATGTAGTACAACCTAACCAAAACTTCTTGTGTCTGGTAAAACCCATAGCAAAGGCATTGTTGTGAGAAAATGGCTCTTCACTTCTAAACTTGACCTTTGCCAATTTTGTACTCTGTGGTCTCCTCCATTCTGCAGCTCGGGGTCTGTTGGTATTACAATGGCCTACACAAATGGGAGAATTCTTTCCCCTGCCCTTCCCTCATCTTCAGCTTTCCCTTTWCCCTACTTGGCTGGATTCTTTCTGGAGTTTAGTCATTGTTCCTTTGCTCAAGGACTGTTCTCATAGGAAAAGGCAAAGATTGAAAACTCCAAGATCATGAACATCACTTGAAAGTTCCTGGATACTGCTCAAATTGTTTATGTAGGCCAACAGACCTACAATGGAATTACCTTCAATGGAAATAAATACTCATACAGCAGATCCTAAAATTAGTTTGCACAAAGTTTATCCAACAGTATTCCTACTAAAGCTAAATATAACCACATTTGAGATATGTCCACATATCCTTGACCAAGTATTAGAATATAAATAGGGACACATATTTTCCTCCAATCCTGATGAGGGGAGAGGGGGTGTAGCTCAGCAGTGGAGTGCTTGCCTACCATAAACAAGGTTTTGGATTTGAGCCCAGCACTACACACACACACACACACACACACACACACACACACACACACTAACACACACGCACATGCACACACACACACACACACATACACAATACAATAAATAACCCTGATGAGTGACCACACACTGATGTTCAGAAGGCAGAATCCACTTCTCGGAAAATCAGAGTCAGACATTTCCTTGACTTTCTCAAAGTGCTGTCATTTCGGTATCAGTCCCTCTCACTCTTCCCAACATAATTGTCAGATAAGATCCACCAAATMCAGACAAATCAAAAAAATCTGGAACAATACCTGGAAGATACTTTTTAATGTAAGACTTCATAATGGTAATAGGAATATGTATTGAGGTAGATTAAACTTATGACACAAAATAGAAGATTACATAGTTTGCCATATGCATAAKAATTTTTTWAAAAMWSTAAGTAATGTACAGTGGAGATATTATAAMCTTTTCGTGTACTTCACTAATGAACAAATGAAAACCCTTAGTCAAGGTGACTAATTTAATGGTCTCTCATTCTGCTGGTCTTCTAAATTCCATCCCATTTTAACCCCTTGCAGTCAKCAGAGATCAGTCCCTCCCTTATTTTCAGGCTCTTAGTTTTGTTTTCTAACAGTACAGTTGCTTGGGATTTTTTTCAACTGGTTTCTGTGAAGATTTTCTTTGCACAGTGTGCTTTGTGAAATGCTGCTGTACGCTTTATCAACTCACGAGTGTTRTGAGATTTTATACACTTCTGAGTTTCTTCATTCACGTGCTTTGCCAGACTCATGCACAGTCTAAGGAAGAGAAGTCATAATCAATATGGAGACAGTGTGTGGAAAATTTTGAAAATTGTTCCTTCATAGGGCAGAACT